TGAGCCGTCCATTTTCCTATAGGAGATCCAAATTTGGTTTTAAGGCTCTCTAATAGTTTCCGAGATAATCGCGAAAAACGAAAATGCAAAAAATAAATAATTCAATTTATCTTGTATAGGGTGTAAGAAGTGGAAAAACGCAATTCTGAGCCGTCCATCTGCCTATACGGAACCCAAATTTCCTCAGGAATCGAATGGAATAGGTTTTAAGGCTCTATCTCTCATAGTTTCCGAGATAATCGCGAAAAACGAAAATGCCAAAAAAAATTAATTTAATTCATCTTGTATAGGGTGTAGGAAGTGGAAAAACGCAATTCTGAGCCGTCCATCTGCCTATAGGAAACCCAAATTGCCTCAGGGATCGAATGGAATTGGTTTTAAGGCTCTCTCTCATTGTTTCCGAGATAATCGCGAAAAACAGCTGTGTGAACTTGGAGTCAAAGTTTGATAAATCGATTTTTTTTCTTATAGTATCGATTATACTCAATGAGTACCTGAATGTACCACATTCATTTTCGTTTGTACCCCGCACCCCTAGACGTAAGGGGTGCGGGAAAAATCGTGCAGCGTCGGAAATGAAGGTACGGAAAAAATTTTCATGAGCAAGGATTCAGCATGGATAGTACTTGTATGTACTATATTTTTCCATTTCATTTATCAACCCCTTCAATACTTTACCCGCTTCTAAAATCTTAAATGTATGAAGGACGTCAGGAAAACATACAGATANCCTTCTAAAATCTTAAATAAATGAGGAACGTCAGGAAAACATACAGATACCTTCTAAATCGTTAGTACTCGTTTGTACCAACGAAAATTATTCATAATAAAAGGGCATCAATGCCGCTAATGGCCCGAAGTTGCGCGCGTAATTACACCCTGCCCTTGTATTAGACCTTCTAAATTGACAAATGTTGTCAAACCACTACAATCAACATGAAAAAAAATTGAAAATTCATCTGAAAATTAGTGTTTACGCCTCATAATCAAAATTTTGCATTTTCGAAAAAAAAAAATTATTCCTTCGAGCCGGATTTGAACCAGCGACCTATGGATGTCCATTTCACTCAAACCAACTACAGTCCACCGCTCTACCAACTGAGCTATCGAAGGAGACATGTACCCTTATTTTTTTAAATCTCATAACCCACTCGTCCACCAAAAAACAAAATCACCCAATTTCCCATCAACTCTCGAAAATTCTTTGATCTCAATAATCCCAAAAAAACCCCAAGAAAAAAACCTATTCACGTAAATAGTTTATCCCCGCGTAAACACAGCGCTCCGGAATGACTCACGCCCCGAAATCGGGCCGTAATCAATAAACACACGACAGTAAACAGATTCCGACAGCCCACAACCCCACATCATTTGAACAAAATAATTACGTCAAGGGCACTCACCAACGAGCGATGAATCCTCTCCTCAAGCCCCCTGGAGGCTCTGAACCGTCAGATTATCGACGAAACCTCTTTGTCATCGCTTTTTTCCAAGTGAACCGCTCCAACTGAAATGCCTCACCTCCTCCCCTCGAAACCGAATAAATTACGCATAACACTCACTTATCACTCCCGAGCAAAACATAAACAACGACCGAACACATGTATGTCGCGAAAGTACTCTAACCTCCAACGATAAACACTTCCGCAGAGTCCCGAATCACTTTCCAATAATATTCCTCACTGCCAAGGGCTCAATCGCCCGGAGAGGAAAAATTAATGGATTTACTCCGGTATTTACACTGTATATTGCACACACACTCGCACACGCACTGAACAATGTCAATCAGCTGATCCCAGTAATCTCCCCGTGCTTCTTATGGTGTTAATCCGAACTATGGACGCGTGCCACAGATCACCTCTCGCCATTTTGGACGCGGAAAGCGGAACAGCCAGCGCCATCACGCGGCGGCGCAGCAGACTGTCGCTAACGCCCGGCGAAAAATTACGGTTGTTTTTTAAATCGCGGGGCAAATGACGCGAAGTTAATGATTGGACGCCACAGATTGTTTAACAACTAATAAAAATAAAGTAAATAATGGTGAATAATGAAATAATAAAAAAAATGAAGGAGAGAAAATTGAAATGACGAGAAAAGAAATTAGAAAAATTATTCATTTTTTTGGGAATGTGACGGTCATGTTTCGGGTCACATACGCCCTTGTGTCGGGACAAGCGTGTTCCGTCGATTGTTCATTAAAAATAATTGCTAGCATCGCGTCGGACGTTTGACCCGTATTTCTGCGAGAAATTCGGATTATTTGTAATTACAAGGAATCGGTTAATATTAATTAATTAATATGTTCAAGAGGAAATTGAAAGCTCTGAAGTATGAGTTCTGGGATCAGGTTAATGGTAAAGGTGAGGTCTGAAGATGTTGAAAAATTGTTTTATGGCACGAGAGTGGGAACTGGGGTTTTTTTTTTTTATTTTTTGTGAAATGAAAAGGAGTCGCATGTAAGAGGTTTTTTTTATGAGAGTTGTGGCTGTTGTAATGAGCTATTTTGAATTGTTTCTGCTTTTCGCATTTTTTTGAGTATTTTTTACTGTCTTTGTCGCTGTATTGAATATTTTTTAGTGGGATAAGCATCAAGATTTTGTGAATAAACTGAGAATTACAGGGATTTTCTTATTTTTTTAACTGAGTGCACAGTTTTTCTCTAGATTTTGCATCATTGCGTGAGGTTTTTCACGCGAGTGCACATTTTTGGAGCATATTGTGCTGAGTATTATCATGTTTCAGATATTTTTGATGAGATATGGAGTGAAATTATGGAAATAAATTTAAAAATGAACGTGTTTTCAATTTTTGTAACTCAATGCACAATTTGCCTCTGGATTTTACTCCATTATATTATTTTTTTAGTATAAAAGGCCATTCTTCAAACCATCATTTGCTGTTTTTTAAACATGTTATATTTTTAATTGAATATGCACCAAAACCACATGAATTAATTTTTTAAAAACGTATTTTCAATTTCTTTTCCACCTGAATGCGCATTTTCCTCTAGATTTTACATCATTATATGAATTTTCTAACGCGATATGCAGCAAACTTATATCAACAAATTATAAAATGAACGTGTTTTTCATTTTTTATTATTTGAATACCCAGTTTTCCTCTGGATTTAACACCATTCCATGAATTTTTCAATGCGAACACGCATTTTTCTTTGGATATCTACACCAAAAATTTTATAAAATCATACCAAGTAGTTAAAATGATTCAGCAGATCCCGAGCACTTGAAAAAACTAGTTGTATGGTTGGAAGACCAAAAAATTCGCCATTACACTGTCCAAGACAGAGCTCCTCTGCGAGACATTAATAATCAAGAATGGGAAAAAGTGTTCGAGAAGTACATCCTGGACGTTGGATGTCCAGTAACCACGACTAGTTTAGACAAGCTCGAGTGGCTAGTCGGCCTGGCTGTGCGCCTCGAGTTCGAGAATAAACGTGAGCATTTTCTCACGTATGAAAACAATTAAGAGAAAAAACCCTTTCTCTAAGAAATTCTATTGGATTTTTAGTAGAATTCTACTGAAACATTCTATTTGTTTTTTGCCCCATTTCTAGTAAATATCGCAAATCACCCCTGCCCTATGAGTTTTTAAATAGATAATTGGTCTTGGACATTACTTTGAATAACAAAATTTAAGAAAAATGAAAATGCAGTGGAAATGACTGAAAATTTACTTCATAAATTTCGAAAAATCAACATCTGTTGTGTCCGAATTTGTATAATATTTAATGGAATTAATGAAAAAACAAATAATTATGCCATAGAATTGCAATAGAACTCTAATAAAATTCTTATAAAATTCTTATGAGTTCCGATCGAATTTCTCGAGCAAAGCACTAGGTTTTTCTATTAAATTTCTTCATACGTGCTCTTAAATTGAAATACCTCACCAGCGATTACACATTTCACTTTACCAATTTTCCAGTTGAGAAGTATCAAATAAAGAGGGATGGAGAGAAGACTGATGCTGTGGTTCCCAGCGTAAAATCAACGAATCCTCTGGACAATCTAGACTGTCAGTATTTTTCCTAAAATTGAGGGGAGACCACCTAAAAATTTCAAATTTTATTTCTCGTACTAATGGATTTACTATTTCAATTTTAATGTTAAAAAATGAGAAAAAAATTGGGTTTTCATTTTTTTATTGATAGAATTCTCAAAAATGTTCACATGACACAATTCTTAATCAATTGATTTGAATTTTGCGCATACAGAATATATGCAGAAATATAAATGAGGCTTTCGAAAAACTTCATTTTTTTGGGTTTTTAGAATTTTTTTTCTTGAAATTGCTACAAGTGAAAAATCTTTTTAAAAATTTCATAATTTTTCTTATTATATTGTAAATGAATGATTCGGAAAATCTGAGAAAAAATCGTACCCCAATTTTATGATGTAGTTGAATATTACTAATTTTTCCAATTTTCCGCATAAGCCAATTTTGAGAAAAAATAAATAAAAACCTAAAAAATAGAAATCTCCAAAAAAGCCCATTTAGTTACATTTGACAATTTAAAGTTGTTCCTCCTCTAAAGTCTCCCTTTGTTTAATAAAAGAATGACAATTTAATTTTTTACAATTTTTTTCTACATTAAAACTGAAGTATCAAACTCATCAACACGATAGACAAGAAATTTCGAAATTTCAATGCGGTCTCCCCTGAAAGGTCAATAATCACCGATCATTTGTCATTATCTAATTAATTTTGCAGTCACCAGTAACGAATTCAAGGAAGGCGTGCAGTCAATAGCGAAATTACTGAAAATAGCTCAACACCCGAATCACTTGATAACTCTGGAGGCCTGCAGTAAATACGTGGCAGCCCGGTTGAACCCAGCAGCTCTGAAGAACCCTCGATCCCTCACGATCAAGGGCACCCCATTCCCAATCATGGAGACAGAAATGGGTTTCGACATGGGGGATAAAGTCCTGAACAACACAGCTAAAGCCTTGAATCTTCTGTACATCCAGGACCTCAGAAACCTCCAGACTAGCATCAACGAGGCCATAGTCGCTGTCCAGAACATAACAGCCAACCCCAAAACAGATACGAAGGCTGGAAGAGTTGGGATTTAATTTGTGGGGGAGGAAACACTACTCAAAGCTGCTTCATTCCTCATTAAATACTCGTCATGTGTATCTTCATCCGCATTTTCTCTCGTGTAATATAGAATTCCATCCCCATATCTATAGATTCACGAATAAAATGTGAATAGGAATCAATTACTCATTCTGAATCCAACGTATAAAACAGGATGAACGTCGATCTAAATTTGGATATTATCGTGAACCTGAAACACTCGAGGAGAAAAACTTCTCTGGAATTTTGAGATAATAAATATTTATTAAATTTACAATACATTTAAAAAATTTCATTAGAACTCTTAGAATAAATTTGTGGATGTCGAGGAATGTAATGGCAGGCAATTCACTATTTCATTAATATGTATTGGATTGAGAGGGTGGGGTAAAATAGGCACTTGTGATGTTTCTTTAAATGACAATTCTTTAATTTGTTTTAAAAATAAACTAAAATACATCTGTCGTGCACTTCTCCTCTGGATCTAAACTGAGTTCAACTGGTGAATTTCTTCTTGAGTTTTGGAAAAGGCAAATACACCCATTTAACCCCACCCTCTCCCCCTCAACAACTAGAACAGATTTTTTAATCTTCAAATTGCGTGAGGCACTGCTTAAGTATCCCTACGTATTCCAAATTGAATTGCGCATATAATCTCTAATGTGGATGGAATATTCGGAGACAGTCTGACCAACGTCTCCAGCTGTCACTGGATATTAAAAAACTGCGATGACTGCCATTCGATAAACTAGTGGAATATTTAAAATTAAGCGGAGATATGTAGAAACAGCACAATAGTGCCAGTGTTGGGAGTAACAATAGAAAATCATGGGAGCGTCAACCCCCAGAGGATCTTCATTTAAAATTCAAATCCATGCATATGTAACAAATTAAACGACGAACGAATTTTTATTCAGAGTTTTTTTGATTGAGCAAGTGTCACGGAGAAATCTTCCTCATTCATCAATGATTTTTACTCGTAGGAAGTTGAACACGAGAAGTTGAACCTTTCGCGACAAGAAAATATTCTCAAAAATGACAATTTGAAGGAGAATTCCTGTTTGAAATCAAGAATTTCAGAGTTTCAATCAAAAATAAAAGTTCTCAAATTCGTAATTCAAGAAAATATTGTTCTTCCCGCATTTTCAATCCCATAAATTCATTGAATCCCCATAATTCCTCAATTAATCTCTCGATTTTGTGCTATTTCTCACAGTAGCCTTGTGAAAAAGTCAGATAAAATTGTCGTTGTAAGAATACTCTTAGAAAAGTCAAATTTAAAATTGAATATTTCTATCTACAAACTGTTACACAGTGTTTATCCTAAGAAAGATTGAAATTTGTTAGGTTTTGGGTTCATGGTTGCTACAGAAAAATTTGATCTACAAATAACCAACTCAATTTTCACTATTGGCCAGTTCTCAATGAATATCTCAGAATCCAAGGGAGATATCAAAATTTTCATCATGACCTTTTTTGCAGCCCTCAATTCGCTCTACAAAAAAGCTCATCTAAAAAATTTCGCCATCTCCCTTAGATTCAGAGATATTCCTGAAAAACACAACTGGAACGTAAATTACATCAACCAAAAGGCTGAATCATAATCGATAATGATGTGCAGACAGATGTTCCCTCAATATTCTATCAATCTCTCCCACGTCATTATCCTGCAACAACGAGAAATTAATCTCTGCCATAAGAAACCAGAAATTTTGGAGATTGTAGCAACCACGACTAGACTTTTCTCAACAATAATTAAGACAATCGACATCTATCTCGACTCCCAGAGGGCCCTGGCTGCAATTGTTGTCTACGTATTCGATCCTCCTCTTGCAAAGAAGCCTGGAGTGCCCTGGCAAGTGCCTCATCATCGCTCATTGTCCCCTGAATATTCTTAAAAGTCTTGGAATTTCTGTTCTCATTAGCCCTGGCCCTCTGCGTCTGCTGAGTCTTCACCATGGCCTTGAGTTGCTTCAATCTGACAGCCTCAGCCCTCCCGATGCACTCGTGATCAGCAGGATGTCGATGTTTCAGGCAGAAGTTCCACTCGCACTCACTGCAGTCCACACGAACAATCTCCTTGATCTTGCAGCCCTTCAACGAGCATTTATTCGAGAACACTTTCTTCTTGGATTTTCCGTAGTCCGACTGGCAGTCATTGTCCATGTGGAGGCCAACAGCCAGGTCTGGGGGATCCCCGCGCTTCATGGGGATCGGGACGTTGCACAGGGGACACGAGGGCACCTGAACGTCCTTCTTGTATGCACTTGGGCAGGAATGTCCTTGGTAGGATATGTGATCTGTGCAGAATATCGATTCACAGGCGTCACAGCGGAGGGGCAGAAAGTCCAAGCGATTGCACGTCTTCTCTGAACAGTGCTCACCCAGGTTTGGCAACTCCATTCTTTATTATCTGGAAGTAAACGTGATTTTGGGAGAATTGCAGATGTTGGGATTAAGGAGGAAAGGCTTAAAATAGAATGCACTGTTCAAAATTTTTGGTTGAACTACTCGATACACTTCTCTATTTCAGTTCGGTTTTGTTTCATAAAGGCCGAACAGCGCAAGGTCGATTACCGAATCAAATTAACGTATACGAAAACCACAAGTGTTTATTCTTTAATTATTAAAATTGAAGAATGAAATTATTAATGTATTCAGTTTGAGGAACAAACTCATGGCATTTATATCACATGTTCTATAAGTTATTACGCTATTTGTTCTATCTGAATGACTTTGTAATATACATTTTCAAACATTTATTATTATCATTTATTATTCATTCAGTTACTTGTTTTTGTTTTTGTCGTTTTCAGTCGGTTTTATATTGTTTGGTTCGTTTTGTATTTTATTTTGTAACTGAAAATTGAGAAATTTAACATAGATTGACATCATATTGACATATTTTACGTGCATTTCACATTTTCAATTTAATAAATGATGAGTTAGTGAAAAAAGTCAAAAAATTGTGATCTAGAAGAAAAAGGAAAATCATGAGAACGCTCTCAATAACTTCGTAAAAAATTAACAGCTGTACTGAATCTTCATAAAAAATTCAATCCTGAAGATGTTGACAAGTTTTTCAAGACAGCAAAGCAAAAAACACGAAATAATTCCTCAAAACTATGAAATTCTAGAACATGAATTTCATCTTCTGTCAGTGACAATCCTCGTTTGACGTAAAATCCACGAGCCTTTCATCACCTGAACAAGTTCTAGGTTATCCAAATCAAAGATGACTTACCACTTGAACGAGCTTTCTCTGACGATCGAAAAGACACTGACGATGACAGAACTCGTCACTTCATTTTATAGGCACCACAAAACACTAATCAACAGGATATTTCACTAATTTTGTCGTGTCATGAGGCTGACTCGGTTGTAAGCAACTGAACACAACTGAATCACTACCGAATGCTGATGAACTGTGGGAAAATGTGAGTGGAGCCATGAGTGGAAAATGGTGGAACCACGGGATTTGAATTTTGTAAACAACAATTCTCACATCTGCAGAATTTATTTGAAATTAAAAAACAGCTCAACAATCTCTTTCGTACGACATAGCACTCGATGATTCTGGAGTCATTGTTGGGATAATTGACGACGAAAGGGCGGGAGGTTGAAGATTCTCGCGGAGCCGAGGAGAGCGAGTGCTGAAAATGAAGAGAATCGGTGGTGTTATGTTTTCGTAAATGACAGGAGGGTTTTTTGGATTACCGGCGGCTATGGAGTGCATGATGACTTTCCCAGGGGTTCTGTTGAATTTTTTCGAGTGATAGGAGACGTAAACACCCGCTCCGATCAGCCCTGAGCCACTGACGAGCCGACAAGCGAGACAATCTCTGTCTCTGTTCGATACGATAGAGGATCCTGTCATCGCATTCGATGATGATTATCACCGGTTTCTTGATGTTTTCTTCGCTTGTGGAGGATTTAATTGTTTTTTGGAGACTAGGAGGATTTGAGGTTATGATTCAGATGTTTTGCAATTTTTTGCGCATGGCGCGACACTGGGGACATCAAGTGGGAAACGGTGGAAGTTATGATTTTGTGGGGAGATTTTTAAATGGTACGAAAATACTCGTAAGAACAAGTGGGGTAAAAGGACACTTTAGACTTTTATTTTAATTACTCATAACTGAGAAACAAATTTATCAATTGAACTCAGTTTAGGCTCACCGTAAAGGGAAAGAATTGTTCTTTGCAATGAAAAAAAAATCTTAAATTTTATCAACATTTCAACCCGTTATTAACATTTTTAAAAAAGTCAAAAGTGTCCATTTTACCCCAACCTCTCCATTTTTGTCAGGACGAAATGAGCTGCTTTTAATCATCAAAAAATCAATCGAATTTTTTCACTGAGTGAACATTCATTCTGATGATTTAAGCAATGGGCTATCCAGAACTCTCAAAAGTATTTGAAAAACGTAAAAAATAACATTTTTTTTCCACCTGTGGCCAAAGTGTGTTACGAATGTTTAAAAAAATGATAATTCTATGCGAAATGTAATTTTAAGGACGCTGAATGATTTTTTTACAATTTTCCTCACGCAATTCAATTGGCAATTTTAATGATCGAAAATGGTTTAAACTACAGTGTAATCCGTACCAAACTGTAAAAGACACTTGGATATCCCTCACAACTCAAATAAACCATTATTTTATTTTTCTACTTCAGGACGACTTACAAAATACCGAAATCCTAAAAATCCTATTATTATGTCTCGAAGATTATGCTCCGAATGTCTCTGATAATTAAGGATTGCAAATGCCACGAGGCGGCTCATTACAGTTTCCTAATAAAAAAAATATCCGACTGGATAAAGTCTCTGCCTCACGAATTCCCCTTAAAAATCTGCCGTCTCCGCAAATGGGCCTGGACGCTCCTTCGCAGTCGGCTCAATGACGACGAGAATCGTCACTCGCTGGAAGAACGGTACAGCCTATTCCTTTTACGACTCCCCGGTGTTCCACCGTGAATGGTCCACATCCGTTTCACGGTCGCTCACAGCCTCCGGACGCCTTCGCACACATACCAGTGGAATTCACCATAATTCACGTACTCCGAACCGCGGAGATACAGCTGAACATGATATGCTAATGGAATTGCAGGCGATCATCTGCAACAGACTGACCGATTGTCCCCAGCACTAAATATGAACGATGACATAAGCGCAGTGTTGATTAGTGACTTTTCAAGATCGTAATAAGTGGAATGCGTAGATATTCCCGGAGCACATCTAACAAACTTCCGGCAAAACAACTCCGTCGAGTTGTTTTTTCATAATTTTTTTTAGGCGTGGACTCCACATTCCAATTGCTCGCTGTTCACATATCTGTTTTCATCTTGAAAAATTCTCTTGGTTCGAGAAATACAGATGACAGCGGAGGCCAATTATAGGGTCAAATCATTATTCAATACTTATGGACGAGGAATTGAACGAGGAAACACATATGTGAATTGTTGAAAATTTTCGTCTGAATTTTTCGTGCCAAATTCGGAAATTCTTATCGTGTTCAAGTTTCAAGTGGGGCCAAACGATTATATAACCACTATGAAGATTATCATGTTTTGGTGGAAACCTTTTGTCCACAAGTCCGCAGAGTGCATAATTCATTGAATTATTTCATAATTTTTGCTAAACAACTTCGATCAAAATTAAATTTTGTTCATAAAAAGACAAAAATTCTTTATTTGAACTGAATAAATTTTATTCGGAATGACTCAATCATTCTTTCCATATAATCGAAACATTTTCAACAAAAAAATTGTTCAATTTAACATAAAACATTCAAATGAAGAGTTTCATTCGACTGAAAATGGCAACTTCCGAATTTCTGAAGACTTTACGTCATTAAAAATCATTCACAAAAACCCTAAACACGTAACGTCCGAATGGCGCCATGGGTTCACCGATCAAGGGAACGACCTCGGAATGTCGTGCCTCTCCCTCGCGAACCGAGAAGGGCCCCTCCACACAGCCATCACGTAGGTGGACCCAACAATACATGAGTTGTGACAACTGCCCGGCATTCGTGCCTCCAACCCGGCCGAGAACCCGTCCCGCAATATTCGCGCAAGCGTGTACGCGAGGAAGTGACCGTCTCGATCTCCCCACGTCTTGAGAGGCTGCTCGACACGAGAAGAAGAGTACCGCCAGTGGACGAGGCCAGTGCTGGCCAGACACTCTCGCGGCACAACTCGCTGTCCGCGATAATTGCGTTCTAATATTTTTTCGGATTTTGTGAAGTCTATTTCTCAGTGGAACGTCTTGGATTATTTACACTTGAATTTCGGTGAGTTTCAGATAACTTTTATTACGAATCGTCGACTTCATTAAAAAAATCTAAATAATCTGTTGTGGAAACAAAAGAATGCGCGTTTTAACGAACAAAATCGTCAATTTTTTATTTATTTAATTTTTCTCGATTGTCTTCACCCAATCATCAAAATTTGACGAAACAAATGGTCGAAGTTTGTTTTTTAATTCAATTTTTTAAATAAATTGAAATAATTTGATTATTTATTTTGCTATATTGGCCCTTTCTTCTCTACTCGAACCGCTATTATATTCCGCAATCAAATCATAACCAGAAAATTAAACGAATTGACAAAAAATTCTTTAAAAATTGAAATTGTTTGTAGAGGAGCATTTTGGATTATTTATCATTTAATTTTGATGAATTTAACCAAATTTTCTCTACAAATCGTTGACTTTATCCCCTCAAACCAAAATTATCTAGTACAGAAAAAAATTGAATGTTCATTTCAACGAAATATAAATAACGATAATAAGAAAATTAAACAAATGGGCAAAAAATTTCCAAAATTTGAATCTTTTTACAATTTTAGAGCAGCATTTTGTGTTATTTCACATTTAATTTCGATGAGTTTAAGATAATATTCTTCACAAATCGTCAACTCTATCCCCTCAAAACAAAACCATCTGTCATTGAAAAAAATAGAATGTTTATTTTAACGAAATGAACTCTTAATTTTTCTTTCTCTAATTGTTGTCTAGTCTCTCCATACAATCATCAAAATTTGACAGGATGAAAGCGATCAAATTTCGCAGGGTCAGACGTTCAAGGATAAACAATCCATAATGCGACCATTTGTTACACTACATTGACCCTCTCTCCTCCGCCCAAACCTCTGTCATACTCCGCAATCAAATCATACCAAGAAAACCAAATAAAATGACAGAAAAAATTCTTCAAAACTAAAAAACTCAAATTCTTTCTGGAACAACAAATATCATTTAACATTTTACTTCAGCGAGTTTAACATCATCTCTACAAATCGTGGACTCTACCCCCTCCGAACAAACCGATCTATTATTTAAAAAATTGAAAAAAATATTTATTTTAGCGAAATAAATTTTCCTGTTTTTATTCCTTCAATTTTTTTCTACTTTCTCCCCGCAAAATTTGCAAACAATTCATAATTTCCGAACAATCCGCCTGTTTGTCCACTAACTTGACCCCTCTCCCCCTCAAAGACCTAAAAATTAAAAAACCAAATTGTTTACTGCTCATTCCCAGCCAAAACTCGAGGTTAATTTTACCCGAATTAATAGTATAGCAATAATATTTCCGTTGGGGTACAAAGGTATACGTCGAGTGAGCCCGGCTTTTAAAAACCCCGGCGCAATGCCAAAACCCATGTGTTTGAGGTTTATAGCGCAGAGTAGTAGCGACGGCTAGCCGAATATAGTCCGGTGTGAAGGAGTTTAGTCATCCACTTTTGCTCAGTATAACACCAACTGCCCTCATGATCTTTGATGTTGACAAGGTCTCGAATGAATTACCGCGTAATCCGCAGCGCAATACATCTCCGTTGCCATTAATTTTCCCATCCAAATGCATCCAATGCCCATTAAAAAAATACAATTCAGTAGTGAAGTGGTAAAACGGTTTAAGTCGACTTATCTCTTCATTGAGTTTTTGAAGAATATCTCCGAATCTACAGGAGATATCGAAATTTTCGTAATAACCTTTTTTCTAGAGCTAATTAAGTGCTACAAAAAAGGTTCTGACAAAAGTTTTGCCATCTCTCTTAGATTCCGAGATATTCACTGAGAAATGGCCAATAGTCGAAATCGACGTAAACCGTTTTACCACTTCGCTACTGAATTGTAATTATCGCGAAAGCGGAGTCGGCGCTGTCATTCGTATTTAACAAATCGAATTGTCACGGTCAGTGGACCACATCCCCTCGAATTAACCCCGATTGTGCACCGAAATCCGGACGATCTCGGACACAGTCCGCCCGAGCGTCCCCATCCTCCCGAAATAATGCTAATTAGCGGGTACAAATGACCGTAATTAGCAACTGAAGCACGTCCGATTCCCTCTGTCTCAATCTCCGTCTCTCTCCCTAACTTTTTTCGTAACTCCTGACGCGCGTGGGTGACAGTTGCACGAAGCACATGTATATGAACGTGTTATTCACGCGCCCACTTAACTTCGCCAGACGCACGTGAGTTGTCCTCGCACGAATGTCTCCACATTGGCGCCTTTCATTTTTCAATTCTTATTATGAGGCGCTTATTCTGATTTTTTTTTTCAATAAATTCAGTATTTAATTGAGATATTCAATTCAGAAGAGTCAAGAGATTTTTCTAATTGATAATTTTTATGATGTATTTTACTTTTAATTTCAGCATATATAGATATTGTTCTCTATTGTTTTGTTTTGTTTTCATAAATATTATCATCATCAGTAACCAACACCAAGCCTTCTCAGAAAAATGTGAACGTTATGTACAGAAAAAGAAATTTATCGAAATTCATCGCAAAGAATGACTATTGAATTTTTAGTCATTTTGTTTATTGAAAAATTGAACAGTAAAATTGATTATAGAATTTCCTAGCGAATGCCCTAGATTCGCATTAAATTTCATCATTCGTCAAGGATTTGTCTAATCATAGAAAAAATTGTATCAACGAAATTAAAAGAAAATAAGAATAATAACAATACGATTGGTAAAAAAAACTGTCTTTTTAAGTTGAAAATTGTTTATTTCATTTCCAAAAGGGGAAAAAATTCAGATCGCAATTAAATTAATGCAAAATTAATAATTTAACTACACAATTCCGAAACTTACTAATATGTGACATTTCCAATGAAATTTCACTTGAAAAATCAACGAAAATTGGGAAACTTCCGTTGATCATTCAGAAAAAATTAGGGAAATTCAGATGAATTCATCTTTTAGTTTTAAATTCTAATCACAATCAAAAATTCTGTAATTTTAGCACTAAATATTCACGTTCATGTGAAAAATACTCCCACCCTGTCCTTGGAATGCCAATTTTTCTCAATAGTGTAGAACAAACAGCTGTAACTTCATGTTTACGAATGCCAATTCTTCCTCTTTTCGGAGAACTCATAAATAAGTCAAGAAATTTGTGTGACGCAACAGGTGTCTTGGCCCTGTTCCCCATTCGCGGCGTTGAGCTCTCCGTTGCCCACATACTCAGTAATTACCGGAGAAAAAATGAGGGGTAAGCCCAAACCCACATCAATCCATCTCCGATCGCGTTCGATATCATCGATATTATTTGCACTCAGGATCGCCGTCATACGCCCACCATTTCGAACGCGCGGGCGGCATTACGAGAGATCTATATCTGTATCACGGTCGATTTTAGTGTTGATACAGCTGAGACTGTATTGGAATGCAAATAAACGTGAGAATGAGAAGGGAAAATAGAAAATAGGAGTGGTTTAGGGATTTCCGGTGGAAGAGCAAATACGTTTCACATTTTTGGAATTTCGTACGTTTTATTTTGATTTTTTCCCTGCAATTTAATGGAGAATATTGCAATCGTGAAAATTTGCATGTAAATTCTGAAGATTTTCACTCTTCGTTGATGAAGACGTCCATATTTTTTGAGAAAAATTACCTGTCGACTCGATTTTTTTGGGAAATGTTAAGTTTCTCTGTAAATTCATGAAATAATATTACAATTTTGCGAATAATATTCAACATTTGAAATTTAAACCACTCAAATTTCTTATTTTCTAAAAACAATTCAATTTTAAATCTGAAATATTCAGTATCATTTTTTATTTTCACCGATAAATTACCAGAATTTCCTTATAATATCACAAAAATGGTTGAAGACTTCTATTCTCCTCAACAAATTTAGCCCAAAATTCAGAAAATCGACCGATGCTTTAAATTTTGAAGAGTGTTTATTGAAATATATTCTGCATTTAGACGAAATCCATTGAAAACTCTGTAAATGACAACCCAATTTGAGCTTCTCTCATCCTCCCTCACTCCTAATGGAAAAATCCTTATCAAATGCTTTCCATCCGATTTTCCTATCCACTAATAACAAAACATCATTCAAATTATGCATGCAAAATGCTAGATCGTCGGCAAACACACTGAAATGACTTTGATCGCCACTCCCCCCGGGCTTCTCAGACTACACGTGTAATTATGCTTATCTAGAATCGAGAAGTAGCTCTCCATGTAGCTATCAAATCGATACACGTCCGTTACATCATACTCCTGTTGAGATTGATCGGGCTTACTAAGTACACGTATGAATGATCCTCTATTCACGCAGTTGCGCAAATTACACCCTTGATAGTGAGTATAATATCCGCAGAAGTATAATTACGGTTGAATTGCATTCCTCATTACTAATGGAAGTGCTGCAGCGGTCAGATGAATGTAGATCCCACTGAGACGATTGGCGGCGGAAATATTCCATAACGGACGAATACATTATCGCGTTTCATTATCAGGAATTCAAATGCAGAGTATTTATTGAAATCATTAATTATCATTAATCAATAAATTTATGAAATTTAATCAGGGGTATTTATCTTATTGTATTTTACTTTATGGCCATCAATTGTTTATGATCATTCTCATTGCAAAAAGCAATACGACCGATGAGAATCGTATGTCCCAATTTATCAGCTGTTAAATTTTCATATTACAATGAATGATTTGCTCGTGTTCTAATTCCTATGCTCACTGAATAAGATTTTAATCATAATTACAATTCAATTCTTCTAGAACAGACTTTAGAGTTTGAATTTCTGGAATTCAATGTTTGTTGATACTCTGGTAGAAGTGCGCGCCCACACTGTCATCAATTTTTAGTTAGTTCACACGGTAATTCAATTAATCTGTTGTTCATCTCAGCAATATAATTCCGTGCTTAGAATATTGTCATCTCGTGTTTTCAGCACCAAATTAAAAATTAAAACTCCATTTGGAATATTGAGTCACAGCTTCTTTTTATTCACATCAGAAATTTTGTATTTGGATATTAATATTATTTGCTCAAAGTGAAAAAATCGATCATCATTTTCACTATATTGCATTCAGATCCTCAATTTTCCTATCCTCAACGTCAAAAATGTGGGATAATCTCATAATTCTAGCTATTAATTCTAATCAACTTTATTCGAAGAAATCCTTAGTAAACGCAATATTGAGAAAGTACAATTATTCTATTTTCCTCTGACCTAAATGATTTGGAGAATTATGATTCGTTTATTCATGTTTCATAGAATTGTAATGAATTTCATTTCATTTCATTATATTTTCTTTCATTTTATTTCCATTGACATTTCAATTTCCTCAAACAAAATTGACCGGATGAAATTAATTGTCAGAAGCAATTGAACTTTTACGCATCATTCGAGTGATAGTTTTAGTCATTCCCAACTCATAAATTGCGATTAGCCCGAGTGAATTTGGTACCGGACCCGTCAGACAAATTACCCTTGATCCACATGACTCATGACCTTGTTCTCACATTCAAATTCTGCGAAAGGGTGTTTATGACCTCACCATTCTCTTTGATCTCTCAGCATCATCATGCTTATCTTCCAACAAGTGCATCGGTTTTTTCGATAAATTTTATTTTCACGCCGAGTAAAAATAGAGACTTTTGTTTGGATTTTGGAATGAAGAGCGATGGAAGGAGGGAAGTGATGCTCACGTAAATGTTATATTTGGCGTGTTCTGAATAAGAGTGACAATGCTCCTTGACCCCAATTGAAACAAGGAGAGAAGACGCGCCGAGATCGTCTCCATTATTCCAAATTTATCGCGTTTTCCAATTTTCGGAAAAATGTCCTCTGGAGATTTTTCGATTTTTGCTTTCAGCATTGGTGAGGAAAAAATTGTAGGCAATGCCATCGACAAGGGAGAGCTCACATGTGAGCAGAAAATACGTGAGTCATGGTGGTGCTATATCTGGACAGGGCCACTCGGCAAACTCGGCCAGCAGCCTCGAGAACAACTTGGGTAAAATAAATTCTCCACCGTATTATCAAAAATCTCCTTTTTAACCCTTTCACATTGAATCTTGTAACCTTATACTGAGAGATCACGCTTGGCCTCCCGCCTCTGACCGTCACGTTCACTTCATTCATTGTTGTCGCGGGCATGCTACAGGGATTAATGGGTTTAACAAATCCGGTGACATGAGGCACTTGCGTAAAATGCAATCATCGAAGAATACAGAATGCGTAGTTTCTCATTTTTTAGTTGATGAAGCAATGATGACGTTTCCAATTACCCGTGTCTAATATTTTTCATTCAATTTTCATATCCAATAGTTTAATAATTTAAATTAATTTAATTTAAAAATTGGCATTTTGAACATTTGATGTTGACATCCCTCTGAATCTTTAATTATCTCGAGAGCGAATACTTTTAGAGGAAAATGTTGTGAGATTTTTTTTTTGATAATTTCATAAGCTACAAAAAACTCCTCTGATGTTTTTGTCTAGAACTGATCGTTTATGAGATAAATTAAAAGTTAGCAAACGTCAAAAAAATTTACTTCGAAAAATTCAATATTTGTATCTTTCTAAATGTTCAATTATGTCGATAGTGGGTAATTTTAGGAAAAAATGTTATAAAACATTTTTGTAGAGAATTTCATAAGCTACAAAAAATTCTTCTGATATTTTTGTCCATAACAACTAGTTTTTGAGATAAATTAAGAATGAACAAAAATGAAAAATGAGTTACTTTGAAAAATCTGATGTTTACGTCTCTTTAAATCCTCAATCATCTTGAATGTCTCAAATTCATAAATAACCAGCATAATCTTGATACACTCACATTTTTTATGATCAAATAGCGTGAGTAGTTTGAGCTCTAATGAGAATAATTTTCATTAACTACTAATTACGAATTTGCAAAACTGATTGCAGGGCTAAAAATTCTACAGTTTATCAATTACTCACGATAAATCTCAATACTCAATGACGAAAAGATTTTCAATAATTTTTTTTTATATTTTCAATCATTTTAATTCCAATTTTCTTTAAAATCCAAAAAAAAAAATTCAATTCAATTTTCCTCAATTTTCCCAGACGCCCTCCTGGAAGATCTCCAAACAAGTGTTTCAAGGAGTACAACCCCCAGCGGTAGACGCCCGATTTCCCCCCAATACGAATACAGATCGGCGGCAAACCCGGTGAGAACAGTCACCGAAGTCAGGTGAGTGATTTACCATTCAAGATCAACCGGTCTCGTCCACAGTGGATCAAGAACAATTATGCTATTCAGATCGACCTCACCAATACGCACAACAACAACGACAACAGAAAAATACGTGAGTGCAGCCCCAGTAGGTCTGGGCAGTGGTATTCCCGGTCTCGAGTCACTTGACGCTGAACTACGAAACGTAAGACATGACAATAACTTCATCTCCAGAATCTATTTTGTACTACTAACCACTTCCTCGTCTATAAACTGGTCCGCGCGATGATCCAACTTCCGGGGAGATGATGCACATTCGGGTGAGATCATGAGGCATGAGATTTCATTTGTCTATTCGTTATTCAAAAGACTTTACGGGATTGTCGTAATTAAATTGTGATTTTAAAATGAATTACAATTTTATTGACATAATTACTGTAGTTATAATTGAAGTATTTGATATTTATTCTGCCTAGCATATTAGTGAAGACTCACAGTTGATTCAACTCCACAGTTGATTTTTTTTAATTTGAAATATCTCCAAATAGTAGTGTAAACTCTTTGAATTTCATCCTTTGAATTCCCCCAGTCGCATGAATTGTAGTAATAATGGCATTTATAATTGTTATATTTATAATTGAAGTAGCTGACATTTATTTTGTCTAGAATATTATTAAAGACGAAGTATAATTGATTTTCATTATGGAGTTGATTTCTTTTTCATTTGAAATTTCTCCAAATAGTCGTTTAAATCCTTTAAAATTCATCGTTTAAATCCCCTCAGCCGCATGAATTTTAGATGTATCGCCCACTAATAAAAAATACTTTTCCGAATAATTTCCACGAGCGTGAAACAGATACAATGCCACGATTAGGCATTCAGTCGGTGGCCCCTCCAGTATCCCCTGGAATTCCATGGAATTCAAATGTGCTACCAATCCGCCAACGCGTGCCCATGCTGAATGCTCACAGTGTCATTTTGTGCTCATGTGTTATACTCACCAACAGCCCAGGCCTGTCTCTATGCTCTTATAAGGCGAGCCGGTCGAGGCGAGTCTCTTTTTACAACTCATTTTTTTTATTTCTGCACCCAGTCTCTCTTTCATTGCGTATCCATCTCTCGTTTGACTGCAGCGAGTCATGCTAATCCTTGATGATTATTAGCCATATGTGGCTAATGGCAGTGACCGAAAAAATCTTAAAAGATGAATAGTACACTTTTCAAAAACAGTTTTATTTTCAAATTTATTATATTGAATTGAGACTTTTGAAAGTTTTAATTTGAAACATTTTTAAATTTTAATCTGAGGCTTTTAACAGCTTTTAAAACTTTCCTTAAAGAAAAATTCCAAGTTGAATTCAGGCTTCACTACATGTTCCACGTGAGAATATTTGATGGGGTGGAACAGATTTACTTGAGGAAAATTAATCAACTCGATAGAAGGAAATTTAATATCTTTCACAAAAATTCAATTTTCGTCGTGATCATCAGAAATATCACTAGAAGAATTCCAACTGTTGGCAGGAAAAAATATAATCTATTGTAACTCCATAGGTTTATACCATAGAAAGAATACATTGACGAGGAAAGAATATTTTTTTCCCAAAGAAAAATTGCCCCCTCAAAATTATTTAGTTTTGCCAATAACACAGTTATCGGCAAGAAAATTGTAGTTTCCTCTTGAAATTATCATTTGTTCCATGGAAATTATGAGTGTTTATTGGACAAAGATATACACTACTCAATAACATTCACTTGATAAAACCGGAGCCTCATATAATTCTCTGTAGAACGAATGTATTTACCCGAAAGACATGTAAATGTCTCACGAGAACAATTACGGCTACGAAAATTATCGTGTTTTGGTGGAAACTTTCTTTTTTGTCCACAAGTAAATTGATTCAACACGGCAAAAGATCTCTTTAGGGGAACATATAATTTTTCAGTAGAACTGTTTTTTTCTCTCAGGAGAAAATATTCATTTTTTAAGCAATCAAATCTGTTATTGGTCTAGTCATTTTATTACCTTTTCCGTTAATTCTCAACAGGTCCAGCCAGGACAGAGCAAAACCGTAGCCTACAAGCAAGTTTCCTATCAGTATAGCAAGAATCAAGATGGAAAACCAATTGGTGAGTATTTCAATCCACTCAATAAGTAGAGGCTGTCAATGATCGATAAGAAATAGGGAAAAGCTGAAATAATCCTCGACCTCAAGTAGCTCTAGACGGTTATATTGAAATTCAAAGATTTTTAAAAACTGCAAACAATTACCTGAAAACTCGAGGAGATTCGAAATCGACCCTTTTTCACCATTTAATTACAATTTTCGCATTTATAAATAATTATAAGATTGTGTAAAAACCATTATTCAACCCAGCATTCCACGTGAAAATCAACAAAATGAGAATTTTGTACAAAAAAAAAAATATTGACACTTGCTCAATCACGATTTTTCGTTTAGTTTTTTAATTATTAATATTAATATTAACAATATCCGTCCGCAATCGCCGAGAACTGAGAACAGAAATAGATATGACAACAATGGCCATGGTTATTCAAAAATAGTCAATTGAAACGAGAATTTCGAAAACAGCCAATTGCAAAATCGTTCATTCATACTTATAGTTTTTAAAAATTGCAGCATGAGATAATCCCATCTTCATTGCCCGCAGAATTAATTTCAGTAATTTATCCATGAAAACAATAACTTTTAGAATTTTTTTTTTGGAAATGCTCAATGACTCGAGTCATAAGGGCAGCACTTCAATAATTCAATAATTCCAATTCACCTCCTCCAACATTTGCGACGTCCCTCGACGTCCTTGGTACCCACTTTGCCCGCGTAAACATCCAAAGAGGGACTGCGGCCAATCCCGTACGTCGCGTTGAAAGGTCGAGAATATACCGGCCTTGAAGTGAGAGCAAAATCTCTTCAGATGCGTTTTGCGAATAGGTACTCTGCATAACTGGTCGAATCACATAATAGAGCACCGAACTTGTCGCCAAACAAAACATTAAAAATAATGAAAATAAAATTGAAGGTCGTTCGGGCACTTTATGACTCTCATAATTTTTTTTCACACAAGGAAATCTTGTCGAGATGCTAATGAGTTTCTGGTGAGGGATCGGGAATGAAGAGAATTGAGAGGCTCTTTGAAGACTTAATGTAATACATCGCCGTATTAGGAATTACTCCGGTATGGTTTATGGTTCAGCCTGATTTCTCTCGCGTATAGCGTGTGGGAAAAATTGTGAACCAGTGGACGGGATAGAAAGCGATAGCATTAAGAAAAATTTGTAATAAATTTCACTTGAGGTTTTGTAATTGTTTTGGTTTCTAAGAAATTTTCACTACAACTCTGAAAATTAATGCGATAAAAGGGGAATAAGTAATCGATACAGGGAGAGATATAAAATTGAAAATTACCATGTGAACGTAGTAATCGCGGACAATACCGGAAAAACGTTAAAATTTGATTTATTTATTTTTTTACAATTTAACATAGTAATTTTTAACGGGCAAAGCAGTATAAAATGAACGAACGAAAAAATTACTTTCAGAAGTGTTAAAAACGCTTTATTTTTTTACCGATTTTTACTATTGAACCTCGAGAAATTACTCAAATCGTATGAATTTTTACTATGTTAAATTGTAATTTTTTATTACGATTTAAAAAAATTAATTTATACTCTCGCGCCTCCTACATTTTACGCGAGGAAATTGCAGAAATTACTGTGTTGACTAGTAAAAACTCCAGCGGACAACGAGAGCGTTGATTGTTTCCAATTCTTGGAGTGTCCTCCCGCCGTCCACCACGCAATGGCCCGGGTGGCGGATTCTATAATTCTAAAAAATTCAATCCTTCCTCTCCCCCCTCCTCTTTCAGAATGAATATTCGTGAAGCAAATTTATTGATAATAATTTTCAAGGATGATAAAAAAAATTAAATATGGATTTTCACTTCGTTTATTCAAAAAAATCCCCCTCTCCCTCGTCCTCTTCCGCGAATATTCATTTTGAAAGGGGGAGAGAATATTTTTTTAACCGACGAAGTAAAAATTCATGTTTATCCTCCTAAATTTTACTCGTGTCAATTGAAAATTTAACTTTTATGCTACCATTTTCCACTATACCGACTCTCAATTTTTACTACGTTCAACAGTAATTTTTCCAACAGACTCCATCATATTTTAATTTTGTCAGCCGTATTTTTTCATCCAGCACGTCGTAGTTTTTCATTTGTTCTCAAAATTACTACGTTAAATAGTAAATTTTCGAGTGTGGCGGGGATACTCCTGCATTCTATTTCTCATATGATAAAAAATACGATATAATATAAATAAATATTGCAAAGAGTCGAATATTGCAATCGTTAAAAATAGAAATAGAAATTTCTCTGCGTGTGAAATTCCTTGGGATATTCATAAATTTTATAAATGAGATTGAATTTTGAGACGATTGAAGACATGATATGTTACAGATTCATTCGCAACAACGGAAAACGCATTATCCACGAATACTGTGCCATTATCGTGAGTATAAGACTATATGAATATCTGCATTCTCCCAAGTTTTTCTCGGTCTTCTGTAATTTACACAGAAATATCGTTGACGCATCTGGCGCTCGGCCAAATTCCGGCTCATTGTGTAACTGACGGTTTATTGGCAGTAAAAAAAAATGAATCACATGTGATAGATTCATTCATCTACTGAAATATTCTCTACTCAATTTTTTTTGCAGTGACGACATACATGAGAGAAGTTACGAAGAGATTATAAGGAGACGGAGGAGTCCGGAGAGGAGTACCAAAACTTCTACAGTGAATAGAGAACTAGTAATTGAACCTTTCACTATTTTTTACCTTGAGAATGCGAAGATTGTCGATACAAATCGGGAATATTACGGCGCAAGTGGAAAAGGCCGTTTTGGCAAGACACGAGTCAAATATATTTTCTGAAAATTATAAAATTCACACTGGCGTTATTAAATGATGTTCAGGAATGATTAATTAGGAGGACTCCTGAGAGGAATAGAATAATTTATGATTTTCTAAAAGTTCATTAAACTTTTCGTTATTCTTTACCCGAAAATCTTAATAATGTAGATTAAATCAATGATATTCCGACGCAAGTGGAAAAAGTAATTTTCGTCAAGACACGAATGAAAAAATACTTTTTAAAAATATTAAACTCCACTCTTGGGTCACAAAATAATATTTCCGGATGACTAATCAGGTTTACGGCGACACCTACTCCTCCTCCCGCGCGAAGCAGCCATCGCCCCTGGGGAATAATCAATCGAAAGAAGTGAAAATAATCCGGGAAACATCCGCTTACCCCTCGGAGTCAAAGACGATCTCCTCGAACTACCACACGAGAGACCGTACCGAGGAGTTCGGAGTGGAGCGCGTCCCGGTGCCCGAGCACTTGGCTCCCGGGCCGAACACAAAGGTGACGACCACGATAAAGACCTACACTTACGAGCTGCCCGGTGCCCCCGAGACGTATGTCCCACCAGGAGGTACGGGGCTCGACCAAACGGTCTCCTACAAGATCGATAAAACGTTGGAGAGATCGGCGAGTCCGATCAGGTACACGAGCACTCCCGAAGTGAGTCAGAAGTCCTCAGTTCTGCACAAAGAGTCCAAGTTCTATCACGAGGATCTTCATGGCTCCCCGACGTACGGGAAACCCCTGACGCCGTCTCCCGTGAATTATGAGACGACCACTACGAAGAAGGAGAACTTCTACATCAGGGATGAGAGATACGAGAACGGGTACTTGCCGGCGGATAGGGTTTGTAAAATTTCGAATTATTTTATTTCATTGTATGTTTTGCATAGCATATAATGAAAAAATGTGCCTTCTCCCAGTAGTGATATCATGATACAAAATAAAAAGAAAAAATTTAGTGAAAAAAAATATTGTGAACGTGAGAATTAATTCGGAGAGTCGTTGGAGTGAAATAGAATAAATTAATGAATTGTCTGAGTGCATCTGAAATTTCAATACAAAATTTTTTGACAGTGTAGCTCAGGGAAAAGAATTTAAATAAAATTCTATTTAGGAGGAAAATCATGAAATTTTAAGTTTTCACAAAAAATTCAACGAAATTCCAAATTTTTTAGTAGAAGAAAGCCATAATTTCTCTAACTTACTTGAATTTTTAATCAAAACATGAATATTCAGTATCAAATTACGCTAAATTTTCAATTAATTCCTTCAAGTTTCATGTAAATAATTGTCAGGGATGAGAGATACGATAACGGGTACTTGCCGCCGGATAGGGTTTGTGGAATTTTGAATTATTTTATTTTATTGTATGTTTTGCATGGCATGTAATATGTGCCTTCTCTCAGTAGTGATACCATGATACAAAATAAAAAATAAAAAAGGAAAAATGTAGTAGAAAAAAAAAATTATGATCGCGAGAATTAATTCGGAGAGCCCTTGGAATGAAATAGAATAAATTAATGAATTGTCAGAGTGCACCTGAAATTTCAGTCCAAAAATTTTCATTTTTCAGCGCAATTAGATGAAAATTAAGTTTAATGAATTGAAATAAATCATTCCTCTTGATCAAGAATGATTCAATCGCAGGTTGATCATCCGGGTTACCCCAGCCACCCTCCCTACACTGAGACAACAACGACAACAGTCATTGACAGAGTTGAAGAGCTTTATCCCGACAAACCCGGCTCACCTCACGGCTACTACACTTCCCCGCCCCCACCAACTGGAGGCTCCAGTGTATACAAATATTCGAAGGAGACCCATAATCTGCACGACCGTGAGGTACTCCTGCCGAAACCATTCCCCACGGGCACGCAATTGTACCCCGTCAATGGAAAAGGGCCGAGTAATGGGGAGGGGCCACCGAAGAGAGTGGATGACCTCATGGCTTCCTTTTCCGATTCCGAGGTTCGTTAAAGTAATTTGCGTAGACTTCAGTTCAGTTCTTGAATGCAGCGAGAAAAAATAATTTTCTTAAATGCCCACACAATTAATAATTAATAATAAATCATTATTAATTAATTATTAATAATTGGTAATTATTTTCATTCATTATTAATTATTATTAATCATTAAGTAATTATTAATAATTACTCATGAATTATTTTGACATGAATTCTGTTTAAGAAATTAAACCATCAAATTCTTTCCTCAAACATTATTTTACAATCGACTATCTTTTGACTAGGGTATTGCGATTGGTGATAACCCTGTGTATTCAAAAATATTTCCCTCTTCATCGCAAAAAGTTATCCATTAAAAATAATTTGACACTCATAAGTGATGAGAAAAAAAAATGAAAAAAAAAATTATATTCAAGAAATGTTCGAATACATTTTTGGAATAGTCACTTGAAAAAAAAAATTTTTCATGTTCAGGGATTGAATTAGAGCTCGAGAACAATGAGACTTCCCTTCTGTTTCACCTTGACTTCCGTTCAGAATTTATTTCAGTTTTGAAAATTTAAAATTTGGGTTATCTTCACACTACTTTGAAGGTCTTGAATGCTTCTTCCTTCGTGGTATTTTTTCATGTTTGTATTTGTTATTTTTCTAATCCAGCGGGAGGTGCTGGTTGACATTCAGAGGGAAGACAGAATTCAGAAGAAGAATAGGGTCAAGGATGGCGATGCGCCGAAGAAGGAAGTGGAGTTTGCGAAACATTCGCCTCCAGTAGTACAAAGCAAGAACGTTGCAGGCCCACCGGTTTATTATCCCCCTGGGACGAAGGAGTTCAGGATGAAGGAGGAGAGTTCTATGGCGATGAAGGAGGGAGGGGTAAGTAGTTATAAATATTCGAACAATTTATCAATAGGGGAACTGACTGGAGCTTTGCACCATAAATATTTTCATTATTGGATATCAAATTTACGACTGATGACTGTGTATGTTTTCATCTTTATGAATAACGCAGAATAACGGTGTAATAGACGATTTAAAATATCTGAATTGCATCGGAAATGATGACATAAGGAAATTGAACGAACAACACTGGATCCGCATTTTTTTTTCTCCGAAGAATAATAATAAATGAAAAAGTTTTGTAATTGAATAGAAAATAATTTCAATTTCATCGACAGTTGACTAGTAATTTTTAGGAGAGTGCCTTTGAATTCGCTTTTGAAGGAATAAATGAAAATCGTGAAATTTCAGAATTTACGGAAAATTCAAGGAAATTCTAATTTTTTAGGCAGTAGGAAGACGAAAATTCCCTCGACCTCTAATTACGCTGAATTTTCCATTCACTAGAAATTCAACACAATATGTTAATTCTTCTGATTTGTATTAATTCTCATGGAATAATTGAACTGAAATGTAGAGCTTTCATTGATTTTTTAATATTTTGGGCTAGGGTGCCCACCCAATCTTCTAGGATATGTTTAGTTCGTATTATACAGAAAAACATTTTCACTGACGACTTTTTTTTGAAATGTCAGTGGAATGACAATGTGACAAAAATTCCCAAGAAGTGTGCTGTAAATTTCCACCAAAAATATTTAACACTTTATTTATTTTGAATTAATTTTCGGAGTGGAAAAATACCTTTTCCATATTATTTATTCAGTTTTCATCTTCAAAAAGAAAAATTTCGTGCAAAAATCCAATTGTTAAGCACCTGCAGAAGCTCGAATAATAAAAAAAAAATTCATCTTCATTCAATTATTCGGGAATTGTTGATAACCAATAATTTTTTAATCAATCAGGGCCAGTGGGAACGCGGCAAGGGAATGTACGAGTACGAGAAAGGCTCCAAGAGCAAGCAGAAGCAAAGCAGTGGCAAGGCTGTGGTACCGGTTTGCCTCCCCCTATGCTGTGCCATGCCCTGCACCATAATGTAACCGAAAACTAACCCTAGAAATTGCCACAAAAGTGTACATTTCTGTTGCTCGAACGATTTATCAAAAGACCTTACAATTTTCTTCTGTATGACTGACTCAAAACTGACATTAAATCGCCCGTTTTCTAATCAAAAACCATTTATCGAATAATGTTGAATAGTTTAATCAAAGCTGGAGGATTTGTATGACACATATGCATTCATTGAAATAAACATGCCGATTAAATTATTCCCTAATTTGTTGTGTGGATTTATTCGAATGGACGAGGGATTACATTTCAACGTCCAGCATTCGGTCGCCAACGACCCCGAGCCCGTGAACAGCGAAAACGGAACCGGCGGAGGGCTGGGCTCGAAGTTCGGAAGGGGAGAGAGAATCCCTCGCTGACGTCACGTAGAGGATGTCGAGATTGGGTCCGCCAAAGGCCACACTGCTGACGGTCATCACTGGCATGGTCACCACCCTAAGCTGTTTTCCGGTGTTTGGGTCGAATTGAATCACCTGGGGAATCATATAGTCGTGAATATTACGGGGGACGAACGAAGCGGAAGTAAACATTCAGGCGGGGCTTAAGGATGTTCGACACCCTTTTAGCCGAAATTGACGTTGTTTTCATTTTTCTGGCAAATTATCGATGGGAGTGACGTGAAAAAATATAACGATTTTGTGGTTTGTCATTCTTTAATGGCTCACGAAGTTGCGTAGTGGTGCGATAATTTTCATGCGTTTTTTCTACAGTTTTGGGATTCTTTTTAAAAGTTCAGAGAAAACGCAGGAAAATGTTCGCACGACCTTAAGATTTCGTCAGTCATTAAATAATGACAAAACGCAAAAACGTTATATTTTTGCACGTCAATTCCATCATAAGTTTGCCAGAAAAATTAAAAAAACGAAAATTTTGGCAGAAAGGGCGTAGAACATCCTTAAGGAGTAACAGAATGCCCTTAATTTTCCAAATTTTTCAACAAATTTCCCGCTGAAAACTATCGATATCTTTAAAAATCGAAGCACATTAATCTCTAGGAGGTGATGAAGATCAATGTGCTTTGGGTTCAAAAAATATTAATAATTTTGAGCAGGAAATTTGTTTAAAAATTTCGAGAAAACGATGGCCTTCTGTTATCCTTTGCTATTGTTACAGAACAATGTCAGCAGAGATCCACAGAAAAATCATAATCTACAGAAAAAGGAACAAATAAACAATGAAACAATTGAACAATTACTCGTCCACCAGCGTTGATCGCCACCCAGAGATTCCCGTCTCTGTCGATGGTCATCCCATCAGGAACCTCACCGTCATAAATTTTTTCGATAGGAAAGATGACTCTCTTATTAGCTGAAAGCACAATCATCAATGAAGAAAAATAACCGAACGCTCCGGCGAATCCACCGTATTTCATGCTCACAAATATCCCCAGTGGCCACATCGTAGTCGTAAGCGACGACCTCGAGAGTGGGCGAATCGACGTAATAAAACGTTGAATTATCATGACTCCAGCAGAGTCCGTTGCTGATGGAGACAGGCGAGAGAATCTTCGTGGGAGTTCCATCCGCTGCGAATCTGTACAGAGACCCCATGTCGTCGAGTATCTCGCCCCCCTTTTCCCCCATAGACCCGGCCCAGAAGCGACCCGCGGGGTCGACCTTGCCGTCATTGAATCGCGTGTAATTGCGGTCCACATCGATTCTGGACAGAACCGTGATTTTAGGGTCTGAATCGTTGCAACTGGGGTCCCACTCTACCTCCACGAGATCCGTACCACTCCCAGCGAGGAATGTATTTTTTCTACCGGAGACGGGGACGAACACTCCTACGGGGCCATTCTCTGGAGGGAATATACCATTTTGACCTTTTATTGGAATATTTTTCATGCAACAATCGGAGTCTTCCTGGTAATTCTCGAATTTCCCACAGTAAGAGGAAAATCGAAACAATATAAAAATCATTTTACGTAAATAATTAAAATTTAAGAGTAATATTAACGAATTGACTATTTAATAATTTAACGATAATTTAAACAAATGAAAAACTTCTCACTTATGTACGCCTCGGTAACTTGGTTTGTCGTTGGGTCCAAGCGCATCATTTTCTGTGCAGAGATATCGACAAAGTAGAGAACCTGATTGGCTTCATCCCAATGAGGACCTTCAGACAGCGAATGGGGTTCGGTTACTGGGACTATTCTCAATTCCCCTTTCCTTCAGAAATCAAAGTATTTCAGCTGTGAACTTTCTCTGATTATATTTTTTAGCATTTGTTTTAACGCGTAATATCCCGATGGCGAGAACTTTTTTTCTGGTAATATTGTCTTTGTGATATCTGCCTCCAAAGTTCACTTCAGGCATCTGTTCCCGCAGAAAAATGGTTTATTTGAAGTAAATAAAATTTATTTGATTCAAATACAGTTTATTTCATTCTAATGAACCATTTTTCTGGGTGTACCTCATCCAAATCTCATCCAATTCCTACGTCGTCACAAAGATGTGGAACGTTGTATAAATTCCTTTCTTTAATGTAATAAATGTACGTGTTTGAACTCTTGGGTTTAAAGCTTCGGTTTACGCACTCGAATTTACTTTACGCACGCTCGGCAGGTATCACACAAAATGGAATGTGTTACACGCGCGTGCGAACAAGTGGATCTTTACGCGCCCGTAACACAATATACTATTCTGCCATCAATTTGTGTTATTTCCGTTGTCAGTCCCTTCAAACTTATTGAATAGTCTTGTTTGTTTTTATTTTTAAGAATGAAAAATTATCACACGGAGAGAAAAATCAGTTCAGTAAAAATTACGGAACTCACAGTTCGCTCATCGATTACGGAATCGACTCAGAAAATTTAAGTGACGGTATCGTAATTTTTCACAGGACATCCAAATGAAAATTACGCTCTGGAAAAATTCCGTGACAGTTCCGTAAAATTTCCTACAACCACATTTCGCTCCGAAATCACGAAAAAGATACGTAATTGTTATTGAATCCGTGCAGTTGTTTTCAGGAAGAAATGGGAATAATCATTTCCGGAAAAACATTGTTACGTAAAAAAATAATAATTTCGAAATAATAATCAATACTGATGGAATGACCGATCAAGTCTAGAAATAAAAATGAGGGTCAATGGGGTTTTAAATACTGTTTGCATGTTGGACTCGTTTCCACAATCGCCAAGCCGACCAGCAAAATCCAAAAATTCTCCATCACTGAGGGATCTCCCAACTCGTGAATCACTGAAGTCGTTCCTCTCTAATCCGGAAATTTATACTCCCCCCGTGCAGGTAAATGGGGGTTCGTTCCCACTTTGTCAAAATAATTTAGCATGGAATAAAATACGCGTCATCTACGTCGCTCGACTGTCACCAGGACTTCGACTCACGTATAACTGATTAAAAATAAATGGAGCCACTGTAATCAGTCTCCATTATACTAATGACATACGGAAAACTCGCAATTATTCCAATATTCAGGGGGACAGTTCACACGGAAAATTCACATTTATCATTAGATCATTATGTCTAATTCACCGCAATATTTAGGAAAAAGGAAGTGGCGTTGACATCATATGAGACACGTGTTACACTCTCAATAAATCATTTATTCTCTGTCCATTAGTGAACATAAATCATAATTTTGATAGAAACACAACAAAATTTTACATTTTAGCGCTGAGGGACTTGACACCTGACGTCCCCAGCCCCTGAACGGCGAAGACGTAGCCAGCTGCGGGCTGCTTTTCCAAATCAGCCTCAGACAAACCGCGCTTTGCGGATGTGACGTAGAGAATGTCATAGTTGGGCCCGCCGAAAACAGCGCTGGTTATTCTCGCGGCTGGCATTTCCACTGTTCTCAAGAGCTTTTTGCTTTCCGGATCAATCTCGAGAATCTAAAATATTATGAAATAAACATACATAATAATTAATAATAAGGGAAATAATCCTGCGCTCGTGTAGCTGAGGTGAGCACATCTTTAATCCAATATTTTTATTGAAATGAGTGTAAAGATGCGATTTTTTTAATTGGATATCAAAGTAAAACCTTCAGAATTAGAATGCACTTATTTTTCTCGTGATAATTACTATCTTCGTTCGCTCATTTGTCCCCAACGCCCGTTTCACATGTCCCTATCCCCGTCTCGTGATTTGAATGATATGGGCGTAGTTTTTTCGAGAGAAAGTATACGGTGTTGGAATTTTTTTGAAATACGAGAAAACTAGAATTTTACTAGAAATCGATTTCATGCCTAAAAAATACGGTTTCCGAAAGTTTAAATAATTTCAATTATTTATTTATAAACAACAAATGTCTAAAAAAAATAATAATTCTGTGGAAAATGTCATTGGAATAACGCTGAATATTCACGATATTTTTCAAATTTTCCTGAGGTTTTACTGCAGTGTAACTTAAAAAATCGTAAAATGTGCGGTACGGCGCTCAAAGCGCGACCAACGGAGTTGCCAGCACGAGGTTGCCGGAAACCCGCTAAACGCGCCCGGGCACTGTAGAGTGAACTCGGCAACGCTGGCGCCTGAACACACGACGACGAAGCCCGCGGAGGCGGCCAAAATCGCCGGATCGCGTACAGCAGCCAGACAATTGTTTAAAAAAATCATCTGATAATTACCCGGTTGCCGTCCCAAACGCAGACCCACAGATGACCATCCTTATCGATAGTCATGCCGTCGGGCACTCCGGGCACGTCATTCTCCTTCAAGTTGAAGATTACCCTCTTGTTCGCTAAAAATAAACCGAAAAATATTTTTCAAGCGCCCATCAGTAATCGGCGAATTATCAGTCATTATGTATTTATCACGCCGAAACTCGTCGCAATTGCATGTTTATCGACTCACAGATATCCCCGGACTCCATGTCATAATCGTAAGCGACGACTTCGAGGGTCGGCGAGTCGATGTAATAGAAGGTCTCGCTATCGTGGCTCCAGGAGAGACCGTTGCTGATGGTGATGTTTTCGAGGACTTTGACGGGTGTACCGTCCTCCTCGAATCTGTAGAGAGCTCCCGCATTAACGGCGGTCTGGTCTTCCTTGTCGGACATTGTTCCGGCCCAGAACCGCCCCGCGGGGTCGACTTTTCCGTCGTTGAACCTGTTGTTGGGGCGGTCGACCTCCACCGTGGACAGGACCTTTATTTCGGGCTTTGGGTTGCTGGTAGACGGATCCCATTGGAATTCAACCAGATCTCTGCCGCTTCCAGCTATGAACGTGTTCTTCTTATCGGCTACGGGAACTGCTACGCCTACGGGACCGTTCGCTGAGGAAATGAAGGAGAATTAGACATTTTTAGGGGAAAAACGGATAGAATTTTATGCGATGTTATTCAGCCAGTAAATATTTATTTACGTTCTGTTGATGAAGTTTTTAGAGAATTTCATCGGTTTTCAAAGATAGACTTCTAGTTCTGTTGAAGGATTAATTGATGAATTATGAAATATGCGATAGTTCTTCTGATAAGTTTTTCTATGGAGATTTTTGTCGAAGAAATTCTTTGATATTGATTTTAAAAGATTTTTTCAGTATTTTTTTTATTTCCGATTGAAGAATTCAAGAAACTTTCGGAATTTCAATATTGTTTATTGATTAAATATTTAATTTTATATTTTTTATGAAATCTTTTGAGAATTCTGTTGGTTTTCGACCAATTCTACTGAAAAAATTGATTAATAAAATACATGATAGAATAAAAGGTTTTTATCCTTTCAATAAATCCAATCTATTGAGAATTTCAACATTATTCATCGATTTAACATTTAATTCTCCATTTATTATAAATCTCCTTAGAAAATTCCATTGGGTTTTAACCGATTTCTATCGAAAAATTTGTTGAAAAAGATTTTTAGTCCTATAATCCACTATATTTCTTCCGTCTCTCATTAAAAAAAATCGAACAACTAAGAAAATTCACACCAATAAATTTCTGCAGATAAAACATTAATTGAATAAATCGCAAAAAATTAAAATCCATTCATTAATTCCTACTAAATATTTTTCAATAAAAAACTAATAAAATTCCTCCCAAGAGCCCGAAAAATTCCCCTCGAATTTTTCAACATTTCAAAAAGTACTTTTCATTCATACTTAGATACGTTTCTGTAAGACTCTGCGTAGAAGGATCGAAAGCGAAGAATTTCTGTGCATGAATGTCAACAAAATACAGGAGATTGTTTTCCTCGTCCCAGTGGGGGCCCTCGCCGAGATCGTAAGGGCCGGTTAATTGTTCAATAGTGACCTTGGAATCCCTAGAAATATTCAAAAGACAATTAAACAGCGAATACCATTACTAATAACGAAATCGCGACATTTAAAATTCAAAAAATTATTAATTGTTAATAATTATTCCCCAAAAACTTTGGAGATTAAACCAGATCTCCTTATCAACTCAACAGCGAGAATAATCAACTCCGAGACATCCTCTCGGGGAAATATTTACATTTTCAACTGATAAATCCCCTGAAAAGAGAGCTTGCGCTGGAGGAAGCTACGGAAAGACTCAATCTGTCACTCGGCGAAGCAAACTTGTGACTGATTCTTAACTACCCATGTCCGGCTGGTATTTATAAGCGTTGCAGCAGACCAATCGCCGCACTCACCGTCGCTGAATGTTATGTCACAGCGATTAAAGCCCCATAATCTCCCCGCTTTTAAGACGATCATATCTCCCGCTATCTGTCACTCCCGGAGGGAGCGATACAACGAGAGCAACTCAAATTTTGAATTCAAACGAAATCACGTGGGCAATTGCATTCGTCTTCGTATGGCATAGTTATTTTTGTTCACAAATTAGCAATATTATGCATGAAAAACTTTAATAAAAGAAATTAATAGATGAAAAACTCCAGAGAGTTCTCGATGAAATTCTACGGAATTTACATGTTGTGGAAGACTATTCGACCGAATTCTTAATTATTTCGTAGTTGGGCTGAAATATTGGGCTTAGTTCATATGAATTGATTTTTTATCACTTGGACATTTCAATTCTCTATTTTTCCTCGAGTCAGCTAACGACCGCAGAGGCCAATAATTACGAAATTACTAAATTCAGTGTTAACTATCTCGTAAAAATTTTTGTTCAAATTAAATGAAAGAATAATGCTTTCTATATTATCTTAAAACTTCGATAAAATGGTATTAGAGAAACTCCTTCATGCCTAATTAAATGAATTCGAATTACATTTGAAGAAACCGTCGGAAAAATCACATTCCGGGAAATTTGAGGAAAATACGAAAATTTGCGAAATTTATTCTATAAATCAAAACAACAATTATTATCATCATCTTCATCTTCAAATTCGGTCAGAGACATAGAAACATTTTTTTTTATCCATCATTCAATGAATTTAGAATATTTTTGGAGTTATCGTGGGAGAACCGATTGAAAAACAAATTGAAATCCTAAAAATCAGCGTCACTTGTGTCATCAACGAACAATTAAAAAAAAACTTGATTATAAATATTCCTAAAATGAGTATTTTTAAACTTTTTGAATCACAGCGGATTGATATAACACAAAAAATCAAAAACTTGAATGTTTCGGAAGGAAAAGTGTTGGGCGCTTGGGGATTTATATAAGCACTTATTTCGTGCAGATGTTGTTGGAGAATACACCCACTCTTATCACCAATATTGTTTTTTCGCTGATTACATTCGGAGCTAATCCCGCCAAGAATTCTGTACCATCTGCACTGGCTAATTGAATTCCTGCGACTGACGCGCATTATGACATCAAGATGTCCAAGACGGTACAGCATTCTCGGCAGTTACATTACGACTTTCACTTACTGTCCGTGAACACCGAGAATCGTCATGGAGATCAGTACAAACACTGCGAGGTTCTTCATTGTCGAAGGAATTCGCGATTAATTCGATCTTTTCACCTGAGACACTGGGAAACAGAATAATCGCCGACTAATAACGCATTATTATATATCCCAACAATCGGAAAAACCTTGGGACAATGAGTTTTACGAGTTTTTAAACGACCTCAAATAGTCACTCGACATTCACCAGCGAGTGGAGGGGAACGAGTTTGAGGGATTTTCCGAATTCGTGGATTCCCTGAATTCTTTTGATTCAAATTGACGGGTGGACTGAACGGTACGCGCTATTTATTCGCCGTTTTATCGTAAACATTAATCACCGTATTTGTTTGTAATAGGGATTACTCCGCAATTTTGGTGATTACGTGGGGTATTGGATTTTTTAGAAAATTTTTCCTGATACTCAGGGTTTTCTCCTCATAATTAAGTTGCTAATTTTCGAATATAATTGTATTATTGGTAAAGTAAAGAACTGTTTACATAATTTTAGGAGAAGAATCTCTGAAATGGAGTCTGAAGAATTTATTTATTTCAAATGAGATCAGGCGAGGTTTTGCATTAAGAATGTTTAAATTCTTCAGTTGAGTTATTGAAGATTAATTCAGCATTAATTTTATTTTTCAAATACATTAATTTTGAATTAAGGAGAATCATCAATTCAAGAACGAGCATGTTCTTAATTCAGGAATTATGTTCGGTTCAAGTAAAAAATACTGAAGATTGAAGTTGTTTCCGTCTGATTAAAAAAAAATCATATCTTCTCTAGAATGAGTGGTAAATTTCAGAAATGAGCGGGATTTTTTGTTCGCTAGATTTTGCTGCACAGAAATTCCGAAATCCAGAGATTGAAACAATTTTTCTTTCGACGCAGAGAAAAAAAAACAGTTATCGCTCGTTACTCGTTGTCGTGTTGTAAACAGAATTCTCTTTATTTTTTAATAATATTGACTCAACTGAGATTACATGAAAAAGAGAATTTGCTCAGAATTACTGTCGAATTCTGGTGATTATGTGCAGTAGTGGATTTTTTAGGAAACTTTTGCCAAATTCAATGTCCTTAAAAATAAAAACTCCTTGCCCTCTGGGTCTGTTAAGTAATCTATTTTCTCGCATTTGGCCCAACTGACGTCTCACTCCTTAAAAAATGTCTTTGAGCCCGACCTCGATCCAATTCCCCCGACATCGTTTCCGCCGATCCCAGGACCTCCAAAATACGATAGTCAGACTAAAATTATGAGGCTGAACCTCGCAGAATATTCGTCAGCGAAAAATTCAATTTTGGCGATATTTAAGTGTAGGAGAGTCAAATAATCATATGTCCAAATGTCTTTTAAGTGCGAAAGAGTTGTACATTACTTAAAAACATTTATACACTCCTAGATTCGCCTAAGACAAATCTTCTGCTGTCGAATCTTTCGCTAGTTTCAGCTTCATACTAAAATTTCTTTTCCCTTTGAAAAATTGTATTTCAATTGTTTTCATCGAGAAATCAACACTTCGACAATGGAAACTATGGAAATCCGTGGCCTGAAATTAAGTTTCTGAAGGAAAGGAAGATTTAAAGTAACTCTACTCTTCGGTCGGGCTATGCCGTACTTTTGGATATTTTCAGTTTTTAAATTTTTCAACTAAATTGCATGGAAAAAATTTGAAAAAATTCATACCCAGTCAGTATTATCTAAATTAAATTTCGCAAAATATTGATATTTTTTTAAACATCTCCCTCTCATAAATAAATAGTGAAACTTGTTTGCAAAATGGTGGATTATTTTGTATGTCAAAAAAATTCTTGATTTTTTCAAATCTAATGAAAAAAAATTCAGATTTTAATTTTTGATTACAATGGAAATGTTGATTTTCACATAAGACACCGGGTTAAATCCCGATTTTTTAAACATTTCTTCTTTGAAAAACCAAAACGATAATTAAATTGAGAAAAAAATTCGAATTCCGAATCTAATCGAGTTTTCTGCAATTTTTTGCAGTTTTCAATAATCTCTGAATTTACCGTAAGGGTAGAGCTACTTTAATTGGACTATAATAGGGGAGGATGGGGCAAAACGGCCCCCCTTCAATCGTCAATATTTTCCGATTCAATAATCCGATTGGGATGAGTTAGAGCTCGTTTTGAAGAATGAAAAATTATCTTCAAAATGAAGTTGAAACTGGGAATTTTCACAATGTCATTCACAAGTTATTGACAATTGAAGGGGGGCCGTTTTGCCCCACCCTCCCCTAATACGAATCTCGACCCGTGGACACTCGAATGTCATCACCCGCAGGATTCGAACTCCTCCAATTTCCCGGGACTCCCCCGCACCATCTAGCGTCGTCGTATTGCACCCCCCCACCGAACCCCCTCATGATGCCGGCGGGTTCGTCGGCCAACATCATCAGGTCACGTGACCACATCGTATTGATACGTGTCGTCGAGCTGAGCCACGATTCGTTAGTTTCGTGTGTTTCATACCAGGCTTGTTCCACTCCACTCATTCACTACTCCGGTGTCTTCGGTACAGTGGCATTGCCACGAGTTATTACCAAAAATATCGACACTGACACTATTTTTACAGTGAACAAATCGCTGTACCATTGGGACACTGGATTTACCGAAGGGGAATTAATAACGGAGTCACCATGGGAAGTAAGTAATTCACAAAATACTGAGAATATCTGATTGTCTGTCATGAAGCCCTTGAACTTTTCGCTGATTGTCCCCGCATTGGGAACATATTGAATAGATCTCTAATGCAATCAATTCCGCGCATTTTTCAGTCAAATTTCTTGAGGTGATAAAACCATTCTGCAGCATTTTGCCTGAAATTGCGAAGCCACAGAGAAAGGTGAGTGATTTATTTTTGGAATTTTGGGGAAGAGACACTCCGTTATGGTTCAATCCCCCGTTATGTTTTCGTTTTTGGAAATTATAATCTCAATTTTTGAAAATTGGGAATTGTTATGATTTAATGAAGAAACGAAGAGTTGTTTTAATGAAATTATGATTTTATTCGCAGATTCAATTCAGGGAGAAGGTGCTATGGACAGCAATAACACTATTTATTTTCCTCGTGTGCTGCCAGGTCAGTGCCAACGCCACGAATTTTTGTGTCATTAGACGCGAGTCAGAGCTCCAGATGTTTGACAACAATTTCTTGATTTTTAGATTCCACTTTTTGGGATTATGTCGTCGGACAGTGCTGATCCCTTCTACTGGATTCGTGTTATTCTGGCTTCCAACAGGGGCACACTTATGGAGCTGGGTATCTCGCCGATTGTCACTTCGGGGTTGATTATGCAGTTGTTGGCTGGGGCCAAGATCATTGAAGTTGGCGACACGCCGAAGGATCGAGCGTTGTTCAATGGAGCACAGAAATGTGAGCATTTTGATAATTAGTCACTTCAGGCGTTGGGTTTTTTTCATGACTTCATGATTTATGGAGATAATTTAATATTTAAGATACCAAGGGGTACGATTTTACTACTGGAACTAGTGTTTTTAAAGAAAATGTCAGCATTTTTTTGAAACATTTGAGAATTGAATTTCCAGCAAAAAAATTGTCTTGACATTTAGTACAATCATTATTTCAGAAATTAGGGGTTTTGAGGGAAAATATTATGAGGAATTTTTCCATAACATCATGAATCATCCAGATAATTTAACATCTAAAGAATCAAGTGGTGAAGCCTTCCCTACTGGAAGAAAATTAAAACTTTATCTTCTGTGATATTTAAAGTTTCGTTTTAAATTCTTCATTTATCTCAGAAACGTCACGATTTTTCGTAAAAAATAGAATCCTCCATTTTTAACCTTTAGAAAACATCAAATAAAAAACAAAAAACCAGAAAGTTTCCTCTTTCAAGAAATAATTCATGAAAGAAAAATTTTTTCCACCACAAAAATTAATTCTTCAGAATTTAATTTCACACCCCAGCGGTAAGATCACTAGAACTTTAAGAAATTTCATTCTTTATTCACAGAAAAGTAATGTTTTAGAAAGATTAATTTTCTTCACTCAATTTAATTACTCAGTTTTTGGCTTATTCTTAATAATTACTGAAAAAAAAATTCTTATGAACTTCCCTAATGTTCCAGTATTCGGTATGGTGATCACTGTGGGACAGGCGATCGTCTACGTGATGACAGGAATGTACGGAGACCCAGCGGAAATTGGTGCTGGTGTGTGTCTCCTGATCATCATCCAGCTGTTCGTCGCTGGTCTGATCGTCCTCCTCCTCGACGAGCTCTTGCAGAAGGGCTACGGTCTTGGCAGTGGTATCTCCCTGTTCATCGCCACGAATATCTGTGAGACGATCGTCTGGAAGGCATTCTCACCAGCCACTGTCAACACTGGTCGTGGCACAGAGTTCGAAGGAGCTGTGATAGCACTCTTCCATCTCTTGGCCACCAGACAGGACAAAGTCAGGGCCCTCAGGGAGGCTTTCTATCGCCAGAACCTTCCTAATTTGATGAATCTCCTCGCCACTATCCTCGTCTTTGCTATAGTCATATATTTCCAGGTAAACAATGTTTTCATTATTTTTTGGAGAATTATTTATTAATTTCGTTCGGAAAGTTAAATTCTTGGGATTTTTTTTAGGGGAAAACAGTTATTTCTCAGAGCAAATCAATTAATATTGTTACAATTCATTAATTAATTAATTTTGAATTATAGAAATTGGTGATTATCATTAGAAAAATCGGCCTAGACAGTTTTATAATTCATTTTTCGTACAATTTGAACGTTTTTGGGTTGAAATCACTCATAAAGCCAATTCCTTGCTCAACAAATGAAAGTTAATGAACTAAATAATTATTATTATTGTTCAATTAAGTAATCGATCAATGCATATCAATATTCCATCAATAGAATCGTCGGAAATCCCAAGAATATAATTTTCTACTCAAAAATCTTCAGTTACACACGACGAATTTTGCCTCCAATAAATAACGAAAAACTTGAAATTTCCAGGGATTCAGAGTGGATCTCCCTATCAAGTCCACGAGATACCGTGGCCAGTACAGCAGCTACCCAATAAAGCTCTTCTACACCAGCAACATCCCCATTATCCTGCAATCAGCCCTCGTCTCGAATCTCTACGTTATCTCACAGATGCTGGCTGTTAAATTCCATGGGAATCTTATTGTCAATCTGCTGGGAGTGTGGTCTGACGTCGGAGGTGGTGGCCCAGCCAGGTCCTACCCAGTTGGAGGTCTCTGCTACTACCTATCCCCACCGGAATCAGTTGGTCACATTGTGCAGGATCCAGTTCATGCGTTTCTCTACATTCTCTTCATGCTGGGGTCTTGTGCATTCTTCTCGAAAACGTGGATCGAAGTTTCTGGAAGCTCTGCCAAAGATGTAAGTCCAAAAAAATTTTTTTTAGTCATCAACTTAAATTTATCTATTGATCAATTAATTTTAATTGACGAATTTACTTCAAAAAATTATTTATTACAATTGGAAAATTATAATTTTTCAATTTGAATCGTTCAAAAACAATTTAAAAATCTAAAAAAAAATTAGAAAGTTTACTTTTCGAAAAAGCTTGATAAAATATTTGAAAAATTGAAATTTTTGAAAATTACGAGCATTTTCTATGAATAATTCAAATTTATCAATTGATCAATTAATTGTTATTCATCAATAAATGGATCCACGGATTAAAAAAAATCAATTACAATTGAAAAATTGTCTTTCATTCTTTCTCCTTCCACTAATTAATCATTATTTTGGTTTCCAGGTTGCCAAGCAGCTAAAAGAACAACAGATGGTGATGAGAGGACACCGAGACAACTCAATGATCCACGAATTGAACCGTTACATCCCCACAGCAGCTGCATTCGGTGGTCTCTGCATCGGCGCCCTATCAGTACTAGCTGATTTCCTCGGGGCAATTGGCTCTGGCACTGGTATCCTCCTGGCTGTAACGATCATCTACCAGTACTTCGAGATATTCGTGAAGGAACAGAGTGAAATGGGCGGTGTGAGCACACTACTATTCTAAGTTTCAACCAGCCCCCACTAGACATTTGAAAAGTGAATGTTCTTTTTTTTCACAACAAAAGAACTGCGTAAATTGTAATTTATTATGAGAAAAGAGATCATCGTGTGAATGGTTAGCAATTACGCTCAGCACTGTGTGCAATCGATGACTGTTTTCCCTCGAACGAGAAAAGAGAAAATGTCACCGTCCGATCATTTACTTATGACAGATGTAATTTTTCTTTCTCCTCAGTTTTGTCCCCCTACGGTGAGCATTTTTCGTTTCTCTGTAATTTAATTTTCACGTTCTGCGTTGTTGGAGCCCTGAGCATGCCAATTTGTTGGCAGATGAGTGTCTTCCACGATCACTCAGACAGAAAATTATTATATAAACTTCATTGTACATAGAATTTAACAGAAATGCCTGACATGGCGAATTTTTTTCTACTTGAAGCTGGATATTGAGATAATAAACGAATGCACAGGGAGAAAAGGGAGTTTAAGCATTAATTCGAATCATGAAAACCATACTCATTGAATAACAGTGAAGAGTGCTCTGTGCATTCGTGGGATTGAAGACAGGAGGGTGCCCACTTGGGTCGTCGGTTGATCCACTGAATCAGAAACTCATCTTAGGTACCATTCCTGTATTATTATAATTCATTATCCTCATTGATGATACAAATTAAATTAATTTTAATATCTTATTTTCTCTCTTTGTATTCATTTATCCACAGACGACAGTTGATTTTATAAAAAGTGAAAAGAAATCCTTGTGTGTCTTGATTTTCCACTCAACAAATACCGAAGAAAACGATAGAAAACTTTTATTCATTCTTACAGACAAGATGTACAACTGATCCTTATATATTTACAAAAAATACACTAGACATTTCACTATCATTTATGCTCATTGTAGAATAGTGTATTATAGAGCGAGCCAGTCTTGGCGATATTGGGAAGAAGAATGAGCCTGAGAGTCTCCGTGAACCTCGCCCCAGGAGCTGACATGTCAGTGTCTCTCCACGCGATGCTCGCCCCCTCCGTAAGAGTAAACAACGCAGGAGAGGGTACATTCTCGTGCATATAAGCCCAGACGCACTCCTTCATGAGAGTATTAATCTGGCTGGGCGTTAAAATTGCGAGAACATCCCTGAGACAGTTGAGAGGTGGTGGAAGAAGTTGTCCAAGTGCCATGACATCCACCAGCCTAGTACCCTCACTGATATTCCAATTAGCCATGACAGTGGCAGCTATTCCCCTGAGCAGAACCGACGAGTAAGCGAGAGCAGGTCGATGCCTGGCAGTCAATTCCAGCAGAGTCCACAGCTGTGGAACATCCTTGAATGTCCGACGAATCTGGAGGTCCCTCTCCACCGTGACCTTGGTGAATTCCTCGTCAGGCCAGGGTAGGCCATTGTACATGACATCAGGAGACACGAGCTCCACCAGCAGAAGACTTACAGACGTCATGGCATCTAGATTCGGATGGGGACTCACCTCCTCATTCGTACAACACGCCTTAATAGCATCCAACAGCAAAATACTATTCATCGATATCGTATCCTTATCAAAAGGGTTCTCAGGCACTGCTCTCCTGGGGCCCTCCCCAATCACCCCAGCATGAAAAACCGACGAGTGCCTCTGCGCCAGCATCACCGAAGTCCCATGCTTGTGGTTGTGCTCCAACAAAAGATAATCCTTAGAATCACTCGAGGATTTCACCTTCGCCCCGAAGAACTTGGCTGGGTCCCCGTAAATTGCGTTCTCAATCAACTCCCTGATCGCCAGAACCCTGGCGCAGGGCGACGTCCCTGCCATGAGCATCAGCAGCCGATTGACGACCCTGATCCCCCTGTATTTCCTGATGTCGTCCTCCTCCTGAATGCAGACAAAAAAATACCTCACAATGGCTCTCGTCAGTTTGAGAACCAAATCAACGCTGTGAGTGTATTTAGCTCCGTCATTCATCGTCAGGAGATCCAACGTCTCCACGATGTCGTGAGTCAACGAGAGGTCGTCAGTCTTCATCAACAACGAGGCGAGCTGACTCAAGTTGGAGTGAATTCCCCGGGAGATCAGTCTCGATTTCAAGATCTCCGCTTTACTCGAGTTCTCCCACTTCAGTAAGATAGCGATGTTCTTGAACAGCTGTCTGGCTTCGTCCCCCCTCCACCCTGGCGAGTACTGAATATCCCTGAGGGCTTGCTCCAGCGTCTGGGTGAAGTACCCGTGACCTGAGAGAGGGTTCTCAGGCTCTGGTTTTATCGTTGGAAACACTGTCACGTTCTCAGCCATCAATCGAACGAGTGCTGCGAGGTGGAAGCTAGTCTGGGCGTTCCTCAGGACCCCAGACCCTGAGGATATCACGACGTTGGGGCTCTGCGCGCCCAGAAGGGAGATCAGTCTCACCGCTGTCTGGACCCTCAGGGGGTGGGCGTCCAGGAGGAGGGGCTCGATGAGGCAGAGGTCCTGTTTTATCGAGGACAGCAGGGCTATCCCCGTGTTGTGGGGCCCCTTCAGCTTCATCTGGAGGTCAATCTCCTGCAGAATCATCTCGAGAATCTCTCGGCAGACGTTCTTCACTGCCAGGGCTGCGTTCACACCGTGGTAACCCACGTTGCTGGTGCTTAAACTCGTGTCCAGGAGGATTGAGATTATCTGCCAGGCGCCCTGCTCACACGCCAGGATCGAGTGCACTGTCACTTCCAGCAGGGTCTTGGGCTGATTGTCGAAGTAGCTGCACCAGTCTGGGGCGAACACTGCTAAACGTGGAATCACGTCTGGACGAACTGGGAAGAGGGTCTGGAGAACTACTGTTGTGATGATTTTTAGGAGAATTTGGGACATCGAGGCGAGCTTCAGGAGGAAGGGGACTGTTGCTATCTTTTGCTTTCGTGTCTGGTCGTCGTCCTTCATACTCTCGTCGAGGCTCCACTTGAAGAGGCTCAGGAGGGCCTCGCGAATGTCGTAGAAGTTGCTGCCTGCCAGGTGCCCCAGGATCCCCACGACTGAGTTCAAGAGCGTGCGCGGGGAGTTCTGCTGGGAACCTGTTTCCGAGAAGTCTTTCAGCCCCCAGAGCAGGACCTTGTTGATGATCAGCGTCGGGAAACAGGTGCCCACGTGCGCCACCACCCAGTTGAAGAAGGGGTAGTAGCTGGAAATTGACTCCGTCAGGACGATCATGCAGGAGTCGGCCTCGGCCGGCGACAGGCACCGGATGCAGCGCGCCGACAGGTCGATCAGGATTCGCGTGGTGCGGAACGAGAGCCAGTGCTTCAGGTCGTCGTTTATTGTGAGGCTGGGCGGGTTGCTTCTTTTCGAGTAGTTCCAGGAGAGTTTTCCTGGAAATTTGGGGGAGGTTGAAGGGTTCAGTTGGGGCGAGAATAACGGAAATTGGGGATTTTTTTGAGTTTGAGGTGTCAAATCCTCTTTTACACGAAATTTTAATCGATTTTGGGAATGGGGAGAGCGATCATTTTTTGGGAAATTTGAGGAAATGCTGGGGGAATTTACGGTTTTTAATTTTTTTGAAGTGTTTATAGTTTGCAGACTTGAATACCATTTTTTATTATGAGAAAAAAATCAATTTTGTCGTTAATTTAACGAGTTTGGCTTCAATTTCAGAAATCAGGAAATCAGAGAATTTCTGAGGAGATTTCACAGTTGTAAAAATTAACACTCTTGGATTTTTTTTGTTTATTGATAATTTAGACGAAAATTCATCGGTCAAACTCACTCTAGACTCAAGTGCCAGTTTAAAAAAAAAAAAAAGAAATTCTTCGTTAACCAATTGAGTTATATTTTTAATTTAGTTTAATATTGGTTAATTTTTAATAAAAATAAATTATTCAATCTCGTTGTTAATCCAGCGACTTATTCCCATATTAAAAAAATAAAAATGACCATTCCGATAAATAAATAGAGAATATACCTAGAAGATCAAGAGACCACGTAGCAACAAGTGGAGCCCACGCCTGAGGATTTTCGTCAACAATTTCGCACAGAACTCCATGAATTTCAGGGACTGTGACGTTCATTGTGGGCTCATCTCCGAGGGTTTGTGGTGAGTACAGCTAAAGTTGAAAAAATATTAAAATTTTCATGAAATTGACAGAGACTTTGAGGTATATTAAAGGGACTACTATGAGGGGAACTAATTAAAAAATAATTAGTGCAAAAAAATTGATTGTTTATTGTTCGTTTACCCACAAACGCTTAAAATGTTGAAAATATTCCAGGGCTTCCAATTTTTCAGCTAGAGGTTTTTTTTTTTTCAAAATAATTACGAATTCGTTTTTTAAAATTCAGCTCCTACACAGCTCATTTCGTTATTATTTTATTTCAAAATTGCACAACTCATGCAAAATAGCGCAAAAAATATTTCTGAAAGAATCTAGAAAATATTTTAAATATTTTAAGGATAATTTTTCTGCCCATTTTAAATGAATGATAGAAATTTTTATATTAAACAAAACAAAATTGACTGTGTAGGAGTCGAATTAAAAAAAATAATTGCTAATTGTTATTGTACACCTTTTTTCAAAAATTTTGAAAAAAAAACCTCTGTAGCTCAAAAATTGGAGGCCCCAGACTAGTTTTAACATTTTAAACGTCTGCAGAGCAAACGAACAATAAACAATTAATTTTTTTGCACTAATTATTCGTCTTTAGACATATATACTCGATCTTCAAATGCATAAGAAATCTCACTCCAATATCCCACGACTTTTAAAACTCATAGTAGTCTCCCCTTAAATAAATCGTATCCTGAAATGACCTCCATGTGACGGTTTTGTCGATTGACAGCGAAGAAGAAGACCTTTCTGAGATACTCCAGAACGGCCTCCCTCGCCCCAGGCAGATTCCTGAGGAGATTCAGGGCCCCCTTGGTTACTTTGTGCACATTGGTATGTTGACATTTCTTCACCGACTCTGGTATGAATTTCCTAACCTCAGCGAGGATCTGCTCCGGGGTTAGGAAGTCCTCCGGCGGTGGCATTTTCACGGAATCGACGAATTGATAGTCTCAATGAACTACTTGAATCATGCACACGCGAATTCTAAACATTTTTCGTTGGAGGAATTATAAAAATGAGGGCGAAACCCGGTGTCGGCCTCGCACGTTTACAAACTGCTCCGAATTGTTGTGATTGGGGATTGAGAATGGACAACTTCACACGTCAGTGCTGGCAACTTCAACACTTCAATACTGAAGATAATTCATAATGAATTTCCTTCTGCTCAATACACCTTTTGATGGTGAAAATGAATATTTAAGATACTAATCCACAATTGAAGAATAAAATAGAAGACATGCAATAAAACAAAAAAAATGAAATAGAAATTTAATATTAAAGATAACTTAACGTCAATTTTCACTCCTCAAGGCATATTTTCGATAATGAAAATAAATATGGAGATTGAATTATTAAGAATAAAAAATAAAGAGAAGAGGATAAAGAACAACCAATGGAAATTTGAAGGAATTTCATTTATGAAATGAAACAAAAATGTTTTTGAAAAGAAGAAAAATTATCGAATTAAAAAAAAATTCAGCTCCCTGACCAACAACACTGACTAATGAAGGGGAATGTTCACAAAATAAACAACAAGTCGATTGATTTTCATCACATCTCTTACTCCCTAATTTCTATTGTCAATAAAATCAGTCAGTACAACAATACATAAAGATTGATTCGTTGATAAAGTCGATATTTTCCCCACCTCTCATATAAATATTCATATTAGATACAAAAATGTTGAACTGAAGCTATGAAGTACAAATAATTCGAAGATAAATTACATTAATGATCTGAATAATTCCCCTCAATTGACATGGGGATGATATATTTCAACGTCTCTTCTTCTTCTCCTGTTTTCGGCCACGATGGGGCTTCCTGGGAGTCACCTGTGGACTGCTCTCCGAGCAGTCAACATCGCTCGTTGGATCGTCCTGTGAAAATATACGAAGAACCAAACTAGGTCATGCAGTCGGAGCCATTTTCTTTTTTCGTCCACCGCGGCAGGAGGATTCGAAAAAATTCATACATAATCCAAATTACATTTTGCATAATATTTGCATAAGTTTTTTTTGACATTTCTTACTTTGAAATAAATTATGAAAATTGTTTGAACCGGCAGAAATGAAATTGTTTTCTGAGAATTTGGAAGATTTTCTAGGGTTTTAATTGAGAAAAAATACAAGTTTATAATTATTTTACAGATCTTTCTAATAAAAACTGGAGGCCCTAGAGTTTTCCAATTTTTAAAGTATGCTGTAAGGATTTAAAATGCGAAATTACATTCATGTATCAAAAATGTTCAATTATTGAGTTTTTCCAAAATTCCCTGTGATTTAATGTCCAATTGAATATCTCAAAAAAAATTAATTTTGAGATAAATCATGAAAATTATTGAACTCTTAAAAATGGAATTAATTTCTTGGAATTTAGAAGGATTTCCTAGGGTAGAATGTTCAATTGTAAGGAATTATTCATGAAAGAAGGTTTCAATTGTCAAAAATGACAACTTTATAATTATTTTTTAGACCTTTCTAAAAAGGGGCTCCAAATTTTCCCCAATTTCTAAATTATGTTATAAGAATTTAAAATGAGAAATTACAGTCAGATTACAGTCAAACTAAATCGTCAAAGTCAATCATCAAGACCTTCAAAATAATGAACTTAAATTGCACGCGAACAATATTAAAAATGCCATCCATAATCAGTATCATCCAAATTACAATTTACAAGAAATAATCCCAACAAATCCCTGGAATGAACTGACTCCAGGTGTAAAAAGCATCAATTTCTCCTGAACCATACAAAATGGCACCTCCAATTTCCACTTCAAACCGTTGGCCTAATAAAATCATAAAAAAACATCGAATGACCCAGAGTGAGCTTCTCTCCCGCACCCTCCCTGTTAAATACTAAAAAATACCCCCCCCCCAAACCCAACTAATTAAATATCGTAATTAAAGCCGAATGAATTACCTTGAGTGATGAGAACCCATCGCCCGGCCAATTATGATAAATAGCCACTGTTAAAATGCAGATAACTTGGAAGACAGCACCGACATAGAGGCCATACCTTATGATCTGTTCGACAAGAGTCTCCTCGTCGGGAAGTAAGAGCCTCTTAATATGTTCGTTTTCCATCCCTCAACTATTGACGTTTTCTCTGTCATCTATGACCCCGAAAATCGAACCCAATATCATGTCCCCACAGCCCTATTACTGTCCACCAACACCATACATTCTGCCTACTCACAATAATTATCACCTTACTCCTTAATCCGTAACAGAATAAGCATCGAGTGCTGAATTTTGTGGGTTTTACTGACCGGAAAATCAATAATCAAAGTAACAACAGTCGAAAGAGATTTTCCAACGGCGTGAAGTCAGCCCCCAACAGCTGCCAACACTCGAAATTGACAGAAATGTGTTCGGCGATAACTCCGGGGGATCGAGAGTCAAAAGTGGGTGTTTACACGGTGTTATCAAATTATTTTGTCACTTCACCTTCGTCGGGGATTAACGATGTCTCATAAGCGATTACTCCAGTGATTCTTCCTCCATCTGCACCGCAGCATTGATGATTCTTCAGTTTTTGTAATGGTACGTGTCGATTGTTTATTTTTTTTCTGTGCTTACTGATCTCAGGGATGATCGCTGGAGATGATTTATTGTTGGTGAATGTCCTCGGTTTATTTTGAATCGAGATCTGCGGAGACATAACCTAATTGCGGGGTTTTTTAAGGATTTACCGAACTCTTCTGATGGGGGCGACAGGCACTGGGATCGTCCCTGGACGACTCAGGAGATGAGGGAGCACAAGGAGCAGTGGAGTCTTGCTTGCGATGTGGGACTCTTTCGGCATCTGCAGAAGTTTTCGGAGGTAGATTTTTTTCTTTAGTTCGTAGGGATGGATCCGTAATTTTTGGGAATTCGAGAATTACTGAAAATTTTAGGCATTCAGTGACTGAAATTTAGGGACGAAACGCTTAATATTTAAAAATTAGTGATAAAATCACGTGGTTGCAAAATTTCTTGCTCGTTAAATTCTAGAATGCAGAATTTTTTTGCCTGGGAATTCAAATTCAAATCGAATTAATTTTTATGTTATTTAAATGAGCGATATTTAGTTGATTATTAATTTTTTATCTACGACATGGAAATTAATTATCGTAATATGAGCTATGAATATTTTCTGAAAAGTCCAGATATTATTTTAAAAATACGTTCAATTACTTATTGAATTGAATATGCAGAGGGAAATGTTTCTGTAATTTTTGGAAATTGATATGTAATTTCTAGAAATTTATCCCAGATTTTTATGCATTCTTGATAGTTACGAGAATTACCGAAAATTGTGGGGATTCAATGACTGAAATGTAGGGACGAAATTATTTGTGAATTCTTCTCTTTTTTGCAAAAATAATTATAAAGTTATCTCTGCTTTTTTTAAAAAAAGTTATTTTATTTCACCTTTTCCATCATACTCCATTCCCAGACTTACTAACTAGTAACTAGTACTGCTGTGCTGCGAGAATGAGTGATTAATTGGAATTAAGACTCAAAACAATCTACAGAGTTTACATAATATTTCAGCTCTTTACTTTTCTCCAAACTGTCAAGAATCGATAATTCCTCCAGAATTTTCTAGGGCCTCAAAAATGTTGGGTTATCCATGATTAATTTTCAGGAATAAAGTTGCCCCACGAATTTAATCCCCCATTGCTCCCCCAGGACTTGACAACAAAAGTGCAAGAAACCCAGTCCTCCCTGGACTCCCTCGTAGAAGACCTAAAGGAGAGTTCCCTAATGATCGACAACGTAACCAACGTCTCCCTGGCCCTCGCCAACACGCAGTTCATCGAGAGTCGCGTGTACGAGGACGAAACTCCTGAGAAACGCCTGGAGAACGCCCCCACAACGGCCAATCCCCCAGAAATCGACATGATATCAGTAGTGAGCGAGAGTATAAAACAGAGCCTTCAAGTGATGGACTCCAAATACGAACGAGTGGAGGTGGAGGCCTCGAGTGAGAGTGAAGACGAGGCTGAGGTGATCACTCCGAGCATCATCCTGAAGCCCCAGGACCCCTACCAGAGCCGACCCTTGCCCTACGTCATTGGCTCTGAGAAATGGAGATCCTCGATGAAAATTGGGCTGGAATCGAGCAGCAGTGAGTCGGAAATGGCGGAAGAGGAGGAAGAGAACTCCGAGTCTTCTGAGGAGATGCCAGCACCTCCACGGGCCTTCCCCTCGACACGAATCCCTCGATCGAGGTCATCCACGAGCACCAGCAGCACCTCCTCCAGCGAATACAATGAGAATAATAATACGAATACGAATTCACGAAATGATAAGGTCTACACGAGGAGTCAAGACACGTTGAATTCAACTTCTGAAATTGAGACGCCTACCACTGGACCTGCAAATACCTGTAAGAAAGCTCCGAGCTTTGCTGAGGAACTCGCTAAACGTTTGGGGAATGTCGCACCCGTTCAGAAACCCCTACAAGAGGTTCGTGATTTTTTTTTCAGGGGAATATTTGGGCTATTTAGGAATACGAAGGATTTTATGGAGTATTCAGGCATGAAAAATGAGCAAAAAATTGGGGAATGTAATTATTTTGATTGGTTACGAGGAGAATATTTTTTTGTTGTTTTTTTTGTTATTAAAAGATGGTTGAGAAATTATGAAAAATCATCCGAGAAAATCTAGAAAATATACCCTTTGACCATTCGTAAAATAGAGAAATTGTAATTTTTGGAGTTTATGAACTTTGACTTGAATAATTCGTAAATACAGTTTTTAATGCTAAATATCGTTTCTTTTTTCAAATTGTAAAGTTTGTCTAGATTCAACATTTCAGCCAAAAGTGTAAAAAGTCATGTAAAAAAATTCTAAAATTCTAAACATTTTAGAAGATTGTAAAAATTCTCATTATTTATTTATAAAAAAGGAAAGTTGAAAGAGCATTGCAAGATTTTATTTGTGTTTAATATTAATACTGTCTCCAAAAAATTTGATGCTCCATTTTGAACCGTTAGGGATCATTTAAAAATCGTGGGAAAAATTAGAAATTTTTTTTTTCAAGAAGATTCATAAAATAACAGAGTTCACGAACTTTTCGGTGAACAACTCATAAATAATCAATTTTTCATTCAAAAAAAATCCTCTCTTCCTAAAATGAATAAATAATTCTTTTGAAATTTTGAAAAAATTGTTTACATGTACTAAAAACTTTGTTTGGACGTAAAACAATCAAAAATCCCTTGTTAATTATTACAGGAAGTGCGTGATCCAGATCAAACCTCCATAAACCGTTCGAAGGACGACCTATTCGGGTCTGACAACGAAACCGACAGTGTCTTTACAACGAAATCCGACAGTCTTCTGAGTGACCACGGCGAGCTGTTCGACGAGGCCTCAAAGAGTCTCTGGAAGGAGAAGGCTGCCCCCAGGCCGACAATGATTCCCCCCAGCCTGGACGCCCCTCCCCCGATAAACTCTGTCGACACAAAGCCCAAATCAGCGATCGATGATCTCTTCGGGGACAACGAGTCCGACGACTCTGACGACATCTTCGCCCCCAGGAATTCCAAATTCATGAGCAAATCCGACGTGACCGAGGCCTTCCAGAGTCAAGTGAGCAAAGTCAAGAGTCAGGATGACAACCTGACGACAAGCACACCAGAGACCAACAACAATATTCCAAATCTCTTCGAGGACGACGAGGATGACAGCAGTCTCTTCAGTCCAATCGAGAGCATTAAAAATAAATCGCCAGAGGCCATTCGAAGTACATCGAGAAAACCACCTGGCATACTTGTAAACCAATCTGACCTCCTTTCCTCGGCACTTGGTAGCAAACTTTTCAATCGTGCTAGGAATGATTTTTCCGACTCATCGGAGAATGAGAGTGTCGAGACTGAAAAGGATACTGGAGAATCGGTCAATGTGAATGAGAACCAATCGACTGCATCACCAGTGAATACGAGTGAAAGTGTGGTCGCTGGGAATTTACATCGTGGAGAGGGCAATGAAATCACCACTGACAGCAGTGGAATATCTGTTCCACCGACTAGTGTCAACAGCACATTTGGGATGAGTTTACGTGTTGGGTAAGTCCATTTTTTTGTGTTTGTTTCTGGTTGTTTGTACTGGGGAAGGGGGCGAGCTTCGCGCGCATCGCTGGCTAGTGATTTATGCATATTATTTTTGATCATTGTGTATTCATTTATTCATTACAAAGGGGTTAAGGTCTGCTTTTATTGTGCTTAGAGTTGGAAGAAAGTGGGGGAATTAGCTTTAAAAATTTTTACGATGACAAATTGGCGTTGTAAAGTGATGAATTTATGAAATTAGGTCCATCTATGAGGGTTGAAAATGTGAGCTTTTGCGAAGAGCTGTTCACCAACAAGCATGGCAATCCTCGATTGAAAAATAGGTGAAACATTTTTAGTCGTTCGCGGAATATTAGAAAAAACAGTATTTTTTGAGAAAATGTCATTGGAATGAAAATTATGCATCAATTTTTTCAAAGTCTTCTCACAGAATTCAATAGGAAAATTTGAAATAACTCGAATTTATTCTCTTTTTTCAATCCTACCGAATTGTTTCATATTCAGAACTTCCCCTATTTTCATCTATTTTTCATTCCAAAAATTGAATTTTCAAGGATTTAAACATTTTCCATTATTCATTTATGAGAAGAAAATGTTTAAAAAACTCATTTTTTAGAAAATGTAATTTAAACGACAATTATGGATGAATTTTATCAAATTTTTGTAAACACTTTAATGGAGACATTTGAAATGAGCCGAACTCATTCCCTTCTTTAACCCCTTCAGTTCTCTTCATAAATTATAACTAAATATTCATGAAGTATTTTGGGTTATAATATTCGAGTCTTGACGATAAAAAAATATTCGAGTCTTCAAGTCTACCGTATGCTCAGTAAGAATCTGTACACATTACCCGCTCGTATGTAAAGATTCTACTGAAAACACTTTCATGTTTGACTTTCATGTTTGAATACACTTATAGAACACACATATGACACTGCATCGGTGAGTACCGACGTAGGCAAGAAAGAATTCCCCAGTCAAGCTGAAACGAAAGATAAGGTTCTTTTATTTCTGGATAGAATGATTACCTCTGAAATGCGAACGAATATGATTCATCGGGGGGATTATTTCAGTTGATACTGTGCACTCATTCGGAGATGAACGTTTTCATTCCCCTTATCAAGTATTCAGTAAGCGATTCATAATATCATGATTCACGAAGTTACACTCTTTAATCATGTGGTGTCAATACAAATATTTTGAAAGTGAGAATCCATTCAGTCCGGAATGCATGAGGGCATCCGACAACATTCAGGAAAAGGTTTGCTATTGTCTTGCTCACGCCAAACTGAATGATATCCTGGGGCACATCTGACTGCGTAAACTGGACAGCTGTCGTGAAAAAAAAGATTCGATTAAATTTGAGATAAAATTTTTATCTCCAGTTCATAAGTTAATCAGTTATCTATTAACAAAATTGACTCTATTTTGTTGATCGAACGTTTGTATTTTGGAAAATCGTGTTCTGTATTTAAGAAGAGATGGAGCAATTGAATGTTCAGTCGACTCCAATCAATTCCATCCCTCGATATCAGATGAGAGACGAGATATGAAAGAGTTATTCTAAATTGTTTCTAAAAGAAACATTTTTTTTTAGATCCATTGAACATTCAATCAGTCGCCTTCAATTGAAAGCCCGAGTTGAAGACCCGAGTTTGTAGCAGCGATGTCAGACAAGATATGAATGTTTTTTTGGGCTCAAATGAAAGAGCGGGTCAGTTGAAGACCCGAGTTTGTAGCAGCGATGTCAGACAAGATATGAATGTTTTTTTGGGCTCAAATGAAAGAG